GAGAAACGCGTGCACGGAATCGAAGGAGTGGCAGCAGAAGGGTGAACGTTCGACCGGAGAGCAGCAGTGTGTGAGAGAGCGGCGACACGGGTTTACCCCAGCAGCAGCGGATATCAACCGCGGGTTGAATCTGGGTGGTATCGGCAGCAGCAGTTGTGTTTGATTGCACGCGAATTCGAAGCACACCGGCGACAGCAGCACGCAGACGTCAGCAGAGTGGATTTGAAGCATGCTGACGGCAGCAGAGCGAATTCGAGCATGCTAACAACAGAAGAGCGGCATGCGAAGGTGCGTGTGCGTGCAGAGCAAGTGGGGGGGCGCGTAGGACATAGGAGTCCGCCGCGTAGGTGTCTTGCGTCGTCGGTTATTTCTGTTGCTCGTCTTCCTTGTTTCCGTGCTGCTCTGACGCATCTCTGCACTCTCCTGCCGTGTATGCTCACGTGTGCTCTCTGTGTGGAAAGGGGAAGGAGGAGTGGAGCACGGGAGATGCAGTAGCTGCGCCAGCAGGAGCAGCAGGGGCAGAAGCGGGCGAACCAGCAGTCCAAGAGACAGACACTATCGTGACATGTAAAGGTACGTGTGTACGGGGCGCAAGTGGGGGGGCGTAGGAGCAGTCTAGGTCGCCGCGCGGCAAGTCTTCGAATCAAATTTTGTTTTCCTTTAGTCCGTTTCCTCTCCCGATTAAAATACATTTTCTTGTGTGCTTGTTCCTGTGCTGTGTTCGCTGCTGCGGTTGGGGGGCCTCCTTGACTGAGAGGCCCACGGACGCGTCAACAGTCCTGCCAGGGCGTGACGGTGCGTCGCACCCCAGGGAGGGGCTCTGCCAGTAACCATCCGACTGCTGAGGCATCTCGGGATCTGCTTCACCACGGCTGCATGGTGAGTAGATTGGGCGAGTCTATCCGGGGGCAGCATAGCAGTCTAGGTCGCCGTGCGGCAAGTCTCAGACCTGAATTCGTTGTTTTCTGAGTCTGTTTCCACTGCTGCTTCTCACGCACACTCTCCTCCGTGCTCGTTTTCTGTGCTGTGTTCTCTGCTGCGACTTCGTGATTGAGAGGCATCGACATGCGCACAGGCTTGCCTATGGGCGGTGCGTCTTCAGGAGGCGCTGTGCGAGTAGGGACCCGCCTTCTGAGCCGTCTCAGGTTCTGGCTCACCATGGCAGTACGGTAAGTCACTGGGCTGGTCTATCGGGGGGGCAGAAGTGTCTAGGTCGCCGCGCGGCAAGTGTCTTAAATCAGCTTCTGTTTCTTTCAAGTCTATTTCCTCTGTTGCATCTGACGCTTTCTCGTCTATGTTTTCTGCTGTGTCGGCTTCTCTGGTTTGAGACTTCTGTGTGTGGGATGGCCCAGGAGAGGAGACCTTTGAGCAGCAGAAGCAGCAGCAGCAACAACTGCACGGAGGGAGGGGAGCAAAACGACCAGTACAGCACAGTAAGTTCTTGACCAGATCCATCGCAGTGTCTAGGTCGCCGCGCGGCAAGTCTTAGAGTCGATTTCGGTTTCTTTCGAGTCCGTTTCCACTGCTTCTTCTGATGCTCTTTTCTCTCCTCTCTGCTCGTGTCTGTGCTGTTTTCGCTGCAGCGGTGCCGGTGCCTCCTGCACTGAGGCTCAAGGGCACAGCAACAATCATACCACAAGATGGTGCTTCCTCGACAGGTGCTGTGTGAATGAGCATCCGCACCACATGGCTCACCATGGCAGTACGGTAAGTCACTGGGCTGGTCTATCGGGGGGGGCAGTAGTGTCTAGGTCGCCACGCGGCAAGTCTTAGACGCAATTTCCGTTTCTCTCAAGTATTTTTCCGTTGCAGCTTCTGATGCAGTCTCCTCTTTGCTTGCGTCTGTGCTGTGTTCGCTGCTGTGGTGTCGGTGCCTTTGCACTGAGGCCCAAGGACACAGCAACATTCATGCCAAGGGGTGGTGCTTCTCAGAGAGGTGCTTCGCTACATGGCTGCACGAGAGAGGACTCTCACCACATGGCTCACCATGGCAGTATGGTACGTGGCTGGGCTACTCTATTGGGGGGGGGGGGTCAGAAGAGTCTAGGTCGCCGCGCGGCAAGTCTTAGTATCGATTACTGTTTCTTTCGAGTCTGTTTCCGCTGCTGATTCTGACACACTCTCGCCTATGCTCGTTCTGTGCTGTGGTGCCGGTGTGTGCCTCCTGCACTGAGGTCCATGGACGCCGCAACAGTCATGCCACGAGACGATGCTTCTAAGAAAGGTGCAGTGCGAGGGAGGATGCTCTCCACATGGCTCGCCATGGCAATGCAGTAAGTCGTTCGGCGGGTCTAATGGGGGGCCGAAGAGTCTAGGTCGCCGCGTGGCAGGTCTTAAATTCCATTTCTGCTTCTTTCGAGTATGTTTCCGCTGCTGCTTCTGACACTCTCCTCTGTGCTTGCGTCTGTGCTGCAAGCCTTAGATGCGTCCGTGCGGCAAGTCTTAGATTTGATTTCTGTTTCTTTCGAGTCTGTTGACGCTGCAGCTGCTAATGCACTTTCCTCTGTGCTTGTGTCTGTTCTATCTGTGCTGCTGTGGTGCCTCCTGCACTGAGACCCACGGCCAGAGCAGCAGTCGCGCCAAAGGATGGTGCTTCTTAGAGAGGTGGCGTGCTCGTCTGAGGCCCAACAACCACATGACTTGGAGCATGTCTCACCATGGCAGTACAGTAAGTCGCTGAGCGGGTCTATTGGGGGGGCAGAAGAGTCTAGGTCGCCGTGCGGCAAGTCTTTTGGAAGTTGAAGTCTCCTCGGACCGTTTCTGTGGGTGCTTCTGACGCACTCTCTTGTGTGCTTGCTCCTGTCTTGTGTGTGCCTGCTCCTGTCGTGTCCTTGCTCCTGTTGGTTCGAGGGTCAACACCTCGGGAGCAGTGACGAGGTTCAGAGGGGGCGAAGAGGCGGAGCCCAACATGATCGCGTGCTGGCCTGTGGGAGCTGGGGGCTGGAGGCGGAGGGTGGGGGAGGGGCGGAGGGAGGAGGGGAGGAGGCAAGCAGCGAATAAGAAAGGCAGGTGAATTCCATCCCTTCCCCATCCTGCAACTTCCATTTCTGTCCTCCGTGGTTGCGCGAGGGAATATGTGGGGTTTCGCCTGTGTTGCCACTTTAAATCCTATCCATTGTTGATATAGTCATACCATTTTTGCCCTCGAATCATGTACTTCTGGAAATTGCTCTTGCCTTGCATAAGAATCTGCGAACGTTCCCCTCTCGATGTACCCCCTTTGCTCCCCTTTCCTCCCCTTTTCCTCCCCATCACGCAACAGGCATGGCTGTAGTAACAGCATCAGCATGCATACAGTACCACTAGAGGACAGAGTGCAGGGGAGGGGGAGGCAAGGAGGGAATGAGGGAAGAAGGGAAGGAAGAAAGAAGGAAAGCTGGAAAGGATAGAAGGAGGATGAAAGGATTGTTAAAAAACTAACAGGGTGAGTGTTCTTTTCCCTTGCTGCCATGTTGTGCCTTGTCCTTTTTGCTGGTTGCCCCTTGTTTCCAGATTACTTCCTCCTACCCCCAAGTGCAGTACCCATCTCTGCTGCTCTCTGCTCCTCCCTGCTCCTCTCTTCTCCTCTGAGCTCTTTACTGCTCTTCTCTTTTAAGCTATGTTTCTGCTGCTTCTTACTTTCAGCTGCTTTTCTTGCTTACAACTTTCGCCCATCGCTATCTCCCCGGCTACAGAATCGCTTCCCCTATATAATCCCCCCCAACCCAGTATAATCCCCCCTGTGTTATCCGTCCTCCCCACTGCTGCCCCATCTTCCCTTCATAGGTCATTTCGAGGCAACAGCATCAGCAGTAACAGCAGTAGCAGTAGTAGCGAGGGATACATAGCTAGAGCTAGGCCTTATAAAGCATAGAAAGGGATGCTGCGGTATGGTAAGGTGATTTGTAAGGTAATGCAAGGTATAATAAAGTATGCTGAGGTATGGTAAGGTATGGTAAGGTACCCAACTACACAACCAAACCAAGGCAAAGGGATCATCCAACAAAGAGACAAACGGGACACACAACCAAAGTGAGTATGCATAAGGCATTGTCCCAACAGAAGCAGGCATGATTATCAACGTTAGTATGCATGTCCAATCTAGGAGACAATTTCAGCCATCCAGAGAAACAGAGCCCTCCCAACCAAAATGACAGGTGCGCGCGCAGACCCAACCTGACATCCGCTTTGCTACAATGATCCAATGGCAGTGTACAGCAAGATGTACCCTCTGGACAACAAAATAGTCTTCAGCCTGATTAGAAACATATATAGTCATGAATGTGATCATGCTATTCGTATAGCGAGGGAGCCTGCATAAATATTTTCTTTGTATACTAGGAGTGTCGCGGGTATTGCAGCCTCGTCACATCTCTTGAGAGCTCCATTTCCATTATTCTCCAGAGCTCCCGCTCCTCCCTCGGGATCTAGCCTTTTCAGGTGTGCGAGCACATGGTGCGAGGTCCTAAAGCGTTGCTGTAGGCCGTTCTACTTTTCTTGTACAAACTTTTGTGGATACCACGTCCTACAGATTCCGACCACGTGCGCTCCGGTCGGCTGCACTTCAATCTATGAACAAGTACTTCCTGTCACCGCTGAAAGTATAACGTACGATTTAGTTTGAGTCCGGCGGAGCGCATCTCGAAGCAGCAGACATGTCAAGGTGGCATCGTTACATCAGAGGAAGCCCGTGCAACTGGCGAACCCTCGTCAGTACGCCACCAGATCTCCCGCTTGTTAGTAGGCGATCCCTCGTTCATCGACAAGCACGATTTCTCCTCAACACGCCAGGATGTCTCTTTGTTCATAGGCAAGCAGGCCTTGGCCTGACACGCGTAACTCGCTGGATTTCGACAGATGATAAGTACAGTGCGCGTGTGGCTCGCACGAGAAGCTTATGGCCTGCGACATCTGACGACACACAGAGAGTCGCACGATCCAGCGATCGCGACACGAGCCACGAGAATACACGGCAAGAACGTGAGTCCTGGGAATGGCAGCAGCAGCAGCGCCGGTGGCAGATGCAGGCGGGATTCGAATCGATGGCCGAGGATGAAGAGGACTTGGATCTTGGAATCGCGACCGTTATTCCTCGCGGGCTCCCGTCGCGCAGGCAGGGAGTCCAGTCGGGTCGAAGACGAGCAGTGAGGTTCGATCCCGCATCAGGCGGACTGGAGATGAGTGGAGGGGAGGCATCCGGAGGTGATATTAACGAAGGTGAGAGAAAGGAAGGGTTTGCAGACGGCGAATCTGGCGCGGGAAGAGAGGGAGGATGGAGACAGAAGGAACGGAGAGAGAATGCTCCCCGTTCGCCTCCCCGTTCCGCTGCACGTTCCGCTGCTCATTCCGCGGAGCGACGTAAAAAAGGGGAGGGGAGCAGAGGAGTGAAGGGCGGTGGGGGGTTGGAGGTGATTGGGCAAGGCGGGAGGGAATGGGGACAGCGAGGAGGGGGGTTGCGGCAGCAGGAGGGTGCAGTCAAGCGGCGCGGGATTCAAGGGCCAGGGAGGCCCTCCGAGGATACAGCAGGGGACTCAAGTGTCACCTTCCGGGAAGGTGCAGAGCAGGAGAGCGACGAGTCGAAGGAGGAGGAGAAGGAGGTGTTCAAGATGGCACGGGTGGAGGCGGTGCGACTGCTCAGCTTCAAGTGAGTGCCATCCCATTCACCCTGCGATGCCATGCCTTTGCCCCTGCCTGCGCTGCCTGTTCCAATGCATGCTATTTCCACGTCCCTTAGTATGCCCACTTGACCATCACATGTTTTGTTTTCCAATCCCATCCCATACTTTCCAAGCTGGCATGTCTCTGCTTCGTTGACTAATGCTTGTGCCTCTGTTTTGCCGGCTCTGTGTGGGCGGCTCGGTGTGGGCGGGTCTGTGTGGGTGGTCTGTTTGGCGGGGGCAGGCAGTGGTCGGAGGCGCAGCTGCGGCAGAAGCTGACAGCCAACCTGACCCAGCCGGAGCGGGCCCGGGGTTTGGCTAGGAGAGCAGGAGCAAGGCAGCCATTTGGCAGCATGCAACTGGAGCAGGCTGATGCTGCCGTTGATGCTGCCGTCAACTACATGAAGCAGCTGTGAGTCTCGACATTGCCATGCCATGCTAAAAGCTCAACCTTGCCATGCTACACTATAAGTTGCAACATTTCCTCGCGCCACTAGCTGCTGAATGTGATCAGACGTGACCGTATCAGTGTGTTCTCCAATTCTTTGACACGTGCCTTCTGCTCCTTATTCCACCCCCTTGCTCTGCCCGTGCCTGTCATTACCGCAGGGGCTTTGTGAATGACACGGAGTACGCGGAGGCTTTCGCCCGAGGGAGGTTCAAGCAGCTGGGATGGGGTCCAGCTCGCCTCAGAATGGTGAGCTCCCCTCTGTGTACCGTTGCTGTGCTCGCATTGTGTGTATTGGTGCACACTGCACGCTGCACGGTTCTTACATGTGCTTGTAATGGTCAAGAACTGTCTCCTGGTTTTGTCTGGCTGCTCATTAAAGGCACCTCTTGTGTGACTGTTGGCTTGCACTTATTTTGACATTACAGGAGCTTAAAAGGCGAGGGGTCAGCGCTAGTGATGTTAATGCAGCTGTGGATTCCGTCTACACTCTGAGCAGTTCAAGTGAGGACGTTTTTTATAGCAGTGATGATGTTGGTGAGGATTCGGAAGATAGTGAATATGAAGATGCAAGTCAAGCTGGACTCAGCAAAGAGGCGTGGCTTACATTAACTGCTAAGGCCTCCAAAGTGTGGGACAGAGGTGAAAATGTCCCCTTGGAGAAGCGAAAGCAACGCTTAGTGGGTTGGTTGCAACGGCGAGGCTACAGCTGGCAGCAGACCTGGAAGGTTGTGAACTGTATGCAAAGGAGATAAATGAGGTTATGTGTGGCTTGTGGTTTCTTTCTCAGATAAGGTATCGGGTTCGACAAATGTTGGAGTTCTTGTAATGAGACCGCCAAGACGTCGCGTGGCGAGGCGACTGTCATCCCACGGGCTTGGAGGACACGTGGACTTCAATCTCCGTAACCCGTCAGCGTGGGAGACGAACTTCTTGACGACGAAGCCCCAACCTGTGGTGCTGTCACAAAGGGCATCCTAGCGGTTGTCGAGCCAGCACAAAATGCTTCGGGACGTGGCAGGTTCCCTTGAGGTTTGCGTGAGCCACCAGCGTTTCGTTGACAGTGCGATGCATTGACACCTCTCAGATCCAACGGCGGTTACCGCTTCGCCGAGATCAACTGACCCCGCCACGGTTTCCCTCGCGAACCGAACCAAACGATGACGAAGTTCCCTCCTTCCGAACCACAAATCCCACGCTTCGATCACTCAACAACACCCCCTGATCCCTGAACCCAGCGTCCCGTGAATCCTGAATCACCGCTCCACACACATCCTGTGGATCCCTGCTGAATTTCCTCCCAACAAAGTCAGCAATAAACGTCTCCAGCTTCTCTGTGTCATTCAGATTCAGGCTTCAATTTTCTGAAGTTGAGGCGTCTTCTTTCTCTCGTCTCTCCGATCTACTCAGTCCTCTCTGAGGCATTTTTCTCGTGCTTCTAGAACAGAAGCTTTGCCACTATGGCCACCACCGATCTTACCGTGGAGAAGACGGCCTCCGGCCGCGAGTACAAGGTCAAGGACATGTCTTTGGCTGATTTCGGCCGCATGGAGCTCGATCTCGCCGAGGTCGAGATGCCTGGCCTCGTCGCTTGCCGCGAGGAGTTCGGCCCTTCCCAGCCATTCAAGGGAGCTAAGATCAGTGGATCCCTCCACATGACGGTTCAGGTGTGTTGAAATTCTCGAACGTTTTGGACTGGTTTGTTTATATCCTCCTTCGTGTATCAACGCCTGCGGTCTCATTGAAAGCAATGAACATTGGAATCTGACAACGTTCTTTCGGGTTTTTTTTTCCTCTGCAGACTGCCGTCCTCGTTGAGACCCTCACCGCGCTCGGCGCGGAGGTGAGATGGTGCTCGTGCAACATCTTCTCCACCCAGGACCACGCTGCAGCCGTCATTGCCCGCGATTCAGCCGCCGTGTTCGCCTGGAAGGGCGAGACCCTGCTGGAGTACTGGTGGTGCACTGAGCGCTGCCTCGACTGGGGCGTCGGCAGCGGCCCCGATCTGATCGTTGACGACGGTGGCGACGCCACTCTCCTGATCCACGAGGTAAACTTGCATGAAAATTGGGGTTTTCTCGTGGTCCAGTCCAAATATGAAATTCACCAGTTCGACAACGTAAAACACGTAGGCGATCTTGCGGTGAGCATCTTCTGACATGTGCATGTTGACATTGCCCTTGCAGGGTGTGAAGGCCGAGATCGAGTTCGAGAAGTCGGGCGCCGTGCCCGACCCCGAGTCGACGACCAACCCCGAGTTCCAGATCGTGCTGACCATCATCCGCGACTCGCTCAAGGAGACGCCGACCAAGTACCGCGACATGGCGAAGCGCATCATGGGTGTGTCGGAGGAGACCACCACCGGCGTCAAGAGGCTGTACCAGATGCAGATCAACGGCTCGCTGCTCTTCCCCGCCATCAACGTCAACGACTCCGTCACCAAGAGCAAGGTATGCCATGACCGTGAATTGGGTGTTTTGGGTTTGGATCAAGAATTCTGTTCCTTAGCAACTGTCTAAAATGTTGAATACTAGACAGCATACGAAACTAAACCAAGAACCCCGTGTTAGCCAGCTTCTTGGACCTATTGACTGATGCAACTCTTCTGTTATATCTGGTCCTCGTCCCCTGCAGTTCGACAACCTGTATGGTTGCCGTCACTCTCTGCCCGACGGTCTCATGAGGGCCACTGACGTCATGATTGCTGGCAAGACCGCTCTCGTGTGCGGATACGGTGATGTCGGCAAGGGCTGCGCCGCTGCTCTCAAGGCCGCTGGTGCCCGCGTTACAGTCACGGAGGTCGACCCCATCTGCGCTCTCCAGGCGGCTATGGAGGGTTTCGCCGTGAACACCCTGGCGAATGTGGTTGGCGACACTGACATCTTCGTTACCACCACTGGTAACAAGGACATCATCATGGTCGATGACATGGTGAAGATGAAGAACAACGCCATTGTGTGCAACATCGGTCACTTCGACAATGAAATCGACATGGCCGGCCTGGAGAGCTACCCTGGCGCCAAGAAGGTGACCGTTAAGCCCCAGACGGACCGCTGGGTGTTCCCTGAGACCAACCGTGGCATCATCATTCTGGCTGAGGGCCGCCTGATGAACCTGGGATGCGCCACTGGACACCCCAGCTTCGTGATGTCGTGCTCGTTCACGAACCAGGTGATTGCCCAGATTGAGCTGTGGAAGGAGAAGGACTCGGGCAAGTACAAGAAGGAGGTGTATGTCCTGCCCAAGCACCTGGATGAGAAGGTGGCTGCCCTGCACTTGCCCAAGCTGGGGGCTGTGATGACCAAGCTGAGCCCTGCTCAGGCTGAGTACATCAATGTTCCTGTGGAGGGCCCTTACAAGCCTGCCCACTACAGGTACTAGAGGGCAGCTGTATGAATTGCATATACTTGTTACAGAAAACTTGTGATAATGAAAACGAAGATATAGCTCTCTGCTCAGTCACACCCCACACTTGGCATGGCGAGAACAAATAAGTCCACTTCTGAAGTTGATGGACCTGATGATTGCTTGATTAAGCTTGTGCCGATGATTACTTAGCTTTAGCTTGTGCTGATGAATGCTTTGCTCTTGCTTGAGCTGATGAAAGCACAGCTAGTCTCCTAAGCTTTCCCTGTGCCAACACATCTCCTGAGAACTTACTTTGAGCTATATTGCAAACACTTGCTGCTTCTGGTGTCAATGAGTCTTCATTGATTCCAGGACTTGATTTACTTATCAGGCATATTTGTGGCACCCTAAAAACTCCATCAGCACCAATTTTAATCACCAAATTATTACCTACAAGGCATGAATTTGAAATTGTTTTACTAAAAATTTCCGTAACCACACAGATAAAGAAAACTATGCATGTATTTGCCCAGAGGTAGAGATTCTTAAGCTTATGTGACGTCTGGTACACCGCTGATCCACATTTGCATTTGTTCCACAACACAACCGTTAATAACGAAGGTTTTCATCCTGCAATCTCCACGTCTGCACGCTGTTGCAACGTGGCACCATTTTTGCCTGTGCAAGCAAGTGCGGCAATCCCAGAAGTGGGGGCAGGCATCGCCGACACCACAGAAAGTGGATGTTGCAGCCCAACATATTTTCCACCGAAAGCTGCTTCGGGTAGCTCATAGAAAGCCCTAGAAAAATAAGCTGATCAATTGAAATAAGCCACCTTGTTCCTGGACCCACACCGCCAATCGTGTCCTCACGGAATCCACGACTGCCATACTCTTTGCATTCCTACTATCTGCCCGACAATACTTTCTTCTGTCCCAGCATTTCACCATTCCCCTTGCCTTTTTACCAAACCGAGGGGAATTCATCCACCACAAACCTGTCATGTTTGTGTCCATCCTTTCACGGAAATTCCTCGTGGCCTACAGAGCATAGAAGACATCAACCTGACTGAACCGCAGAGAAAACGAAAGAATCGTTCCTCAACCTCTGGAAGAGAAACACCGAGGACTCGGGAGTGGAGTGTGCCTCAACCAGAACAAGAGAAACTGCTCTCCTTTTTACCACCCCTCTCCTCATTTCATACTCCCCTTCCACTTCAGCCTGCTGAAGTCCAGTTAGGGCAAGCAAGCTTCACGCCTGTGACATCTCTACCACGTCTGAACTCGGCTTAGTATTCGTTCCAGAAATTAGCCAGTTCATTTTCCTATTTCTCGCTTACCGGTACCAGCTTACCGCAAAGGAAACCGCTGTTTGGTGAATCAGCCCGCGATGGCCACCACAACGTCAGTAGGTCTCCTCCACACGCACGCGCACGCGTCGCTGAGCAAGCCCATCGCGCAGCGTGCCACCGGCCTGCTCTCCCACGAGCCATGCGTCCCCTCGCAACTATCCTCCGTCAAATTCCTCTCTGGCTGCGATTCCTTCCCGAACGCCAAGCTCACTGCCACCTCCGCTTCCTCAGGCTCCCTATGCGTCCCCGGCGCGTTCCCCGCGGAGAAGCGGGGCCTTAGAGTGGTAGCGGGCGGGCCCGGGCTGGCGGGGGAGCAGGATCAGGGGCAGCAGGGGTCGTCGGACGACTTTCCGCCGGTGCCGTCGGGGCGGATGATGGTGCCGATGATGAAGAAGGGCTACGGCGCTTTCGGCGGCGGTGGAGCCACGCTTGAAAAGTCCAAGCTCGACCTTTCGTTCTCGGCCACCAAGACCACCCCTCAGGTACACCTTGGAATTGCAGGAATTGGTAGGCTGTTATGAGTCGACGCAAAACACACAGCTGGACATCTCGCTCGTTCCAAGTTTACTCAACAGATGCACCGCGCAACTCCAGAATCTTATTCCGTATGCTGGTTTTCCTGTTACTTTGTCTCCTTTTCCTAACAATCTAGGGTTTCGAGCTTGTGTCTGGAGCTGACTGGCGTGTTGACTGATGCGTGTGTGTGGTGTTGTGCTTTTCTGTGGAACGCGATCAGATTGACCTGGGCGGTGGAGGTGGTAACGTCGGTAAGGGCGGAGCGCACGGCGGAGGCGACGGCGGCGACGATGGTGGCGACGATGACGACTACTTCGGCGAGGACGACGGCGACGACGGTGACGACGACGGTTTCATTCGTAGAGCGATCATCTCCGAGGTTAGTTAGCCGCATGTCTCCATTAACATTGTTGCCGCCATTTATGTTGTTCATTGGCGGCATTCCTGGTTGTTTTCGCAACTTGATTCTGAGGCTTTTCGAAAGCAGCCTGCCGTTTTTGTATGCTCTGTCTTATCTGCCTGCCATCTCCCTGCCTTGCCTAATCTCTGCCCGACGAGTATTCGGCAGGGGCTCTGTGGTCGCGAAACTTAGCCGCCAAGCATCTCCAATTCACGAATTATATTGTTTTTTGTCTGGCTGTCTGTTCTGCCTTCTCTGCCCGCTGTCTGCTCTGTGTGCGTGATCCGCATGACTCGGCAGGTGTTCGACAGGGCCTCGGTCGAGGCAGTGCTGCAGGAGTGGTTCCGATCCATGGCGGACCTTCCTGCCGGCATCAGACGAGCCGTTGAAATGGTAAGATATCCTGCCGTTGCTGATGATGAACGGCCGAGATGAACGGTTGTTGAAGCAGGCGGGGACTTGGGAAAGGGGTTTGCGCGGGCAGTGGGAGGAAGGGTCGGGAAGCGCTGAGCTTGGCTGGTAACGGGAACGCAGTGTGAATTTGCTTCAGGTCATGTTTCCAAATCCCTGTTTCTCAAGTTCCGCCGTTGGTTTCTAGGGTGCGCACCCGCCACTCCCTCCCCTCGCCCGACCCCGCCACCCACGCCGCTTCTCCACCGGTAGTAGCACGTACGTCTCGTTATATGCGCACAATTCCCATCAGAGTCTGGTGAGTTCAGCGCCAGCACAGATCCCGTGGCATCACAGTCTCCGGACGCTAACGTTTCCGCCTTTTGCCGCTCTTCGCTGTACCGCACCTCTTGTCTCGCTGTTCCCCCTCTTCCGCTCCCATCAGGGTCTGGTGAGCTCGGCGCAGATCGCGCGCTTCATGTCGATCGACGCGCGCCCCACCATCGCGCGCATCGTCTCCCGCGCTACCCCCGCCGAGGTCTCGCGCGCATTCGTCGGCCGGTGAGTTCCGAGTCCCGGTCGTCATCCCATCCCCCGCATTGTTGCGCCGATCTGCTTCTGCCATGTGCCCTCTGACTCCGCACGGCTTCGTCGCGCGGTGTTTCTTTTGCTATCCAAGCTGACTGAAGGAAACGAAAGAAAGTTTCTGGTGGAAATGAAAGAGGGGGGGGAGAGGGGGGGGAGGGAAGTTTAGGGCGAAAGCGGAATTGGGAGGTTGTGGGTAGTTGCTGCAGGAGGCCGTCGTTCCTTTCTCTTCCTATCGATTCCCGGCATTAACGTTCCCTTCCCTTCCTTCCATCCGTCCTCCCCCATTCCCTCCACATTCCTCCCCCCTTTCCCCTCCCCCCCACATTCCCTTCTCCCTCCTTTCTCGGCAGCATGATGGCGGATCCAGCGTTCATCTACAAGCTGCTGCTGGAGCAGGCGGTCACCGTCGGCACGTCCGCTTGGTGGGAGGTCAAGCAACGCGGCGACAGGTGAGGAGAAGGATATCAAACCGGAAATTGGGGTTCTGTAGGGTTCCCGAGTAAATGGTTCAGTCTGGCTGCCTAACCAGTGCATCTTGAGAACGGTTTCGTCTGCGAATCGACGGGCGTCGTCAGTTCGGTGTTTTCTTTTCCCACATTTAAATCTCATTCCGCCCCCTCCCCCCACCGCAGACTGAAGGACGAGTGGGGCCTGGCTCTCACGAACGTTCTCACTTTGTCGCTGTGCAACGCGGCGGTGGTGTGGTCGCTCTCCCCCACGCGCTCCTACGGCTCCACCGCCACATCAGAGTGGCAGATGGCGCTGCAGAAGCTGCCCAACAATATGTTCGACAAGAGCTACCCTCTGCGCGAGTTCAACCTGCCCGCCCGCGCCGGCAGCTTCTTTTTTAATGCGGCAAAGCTCAGCCTTGTGGGATCCACGGTCGGCGCCCTGGGGGGCCTTGCCTCCAACGCCATTCTCTCAACTTTTTCTAAGGGGTGAGCCTGTTCGCCCCATTGTTTCTGCGACCTCCCAGTCTCTCCACCTTCTGATCCATCCCCAATTTTCACTTCCTCGACACACTCCACTCGTCACCCTCTCGCCTACCCACATACTCACCCCTCACCCTAATCCCACTCCGCTCTCACCATTTCCCAATCTTGGCCTTCCCCTGCCCAGCCGTCCCCCGCCCGCCTGCCCAGCCATCCGCCACTCTCCATTTTTCAGTCCACCCACCTTCACACTCTACCCCTCGCTCATACATACTCACCCGCACAACCTCCCTTCCATCTTCCCCCTCCCCCGCACCTCTTCCCGCCTGTGCAGCAAGGAGGGGTACCGGCCGTCAGTGGTGGTGCCGTCAGCCAGCACGAGTGCAGCGGCGTACGGGGCGCACACGGGGCTGTCAGGCAACCTGCGCTACCAGCTGAGCCATCCCCCACTCTCTCACCCCACCCACTTTCACCCCTCTCCACCCCTCTTTTTCCCCCCGTGCAGCAAGGAGGGATTCCGGCCATCAGTGGTGGTGCCGTCAGCCAGCACGAGTGCAGCGGCGTACGGGGCGCACACAGGGCTGTCAGGCAACCTGCGCTACCAGCTGCTGTACGGACTCGACCGCATGCTGCAGCAGCACTTCAACCACATCCCCGTTGCCGTGCTGGGCACCACTGCCCTCAGGTGCGTGGGCGTCTCAGGTCGCAGGGGTGCTGGGGGGTTGCACGCACACGGGGCTGTTAGGGGGCTGCATTTGGGCCTATGGGGCTGCACTCAGGGCAGGGCTGTTGGGGGGGTTGGCGTAGACACAGGGCTAGCTGTCAGGCAACCTGCGCTACCATCTGCTGTATGGGCTGGACCGCATGCTGCAGCAGCACTTCAACCACATTCCCGTTGCTGTCCTCGGCACCACTGCGCTAAGGTGGGTCGGTGGGGGTCTCGGGTTGCGTGTGGCATTACATGCGGAAATGCTGGTTGAATGTTACACATGCAAGGGGAATTCAGAGTACAGATGGGGCTTTTGTGGTGGGGTTAGGCATGGTGCTGTGGGGCTGCACATGGGGTTCGGTTCGCGGGCAATCAATTTGTGGGCAGGTAGAACGTTGTCATGCTTGTGGGTCAGCTGAGCGGTTCTCTTCCCTTGTGTCGTACGATTCATTATCATGCAGGTGTGGCAACGTTCTATTGGGCGAGCCGTCTCGCCTGATGTGGCTGGGGATGGACGGAGAGGCGCAGCAACAGGCCAAGGCAGAGCAGCAGGCGTACCGCCGCCCGTCGCGCTCCTCCGGTGCCGGTTCTAAGACTAACTCGTTCCTGCAATCACTGCCCTTCGGCAAAAAATCAGAGGAAGCACAGCCCAAGAAAAAGAGTGCTGCTAGGAGAGTGACCAAGGCTGCCGCTGCAGGAGGGGCTGAGAGTGGGGCAGAGGCGGGTGCCGTAAGTTCAGAGGGGGCGGAGAAGGTGCAAGGGACGGGAGGTGCAGCTCGCACGACAAAGCGTAAGGTGAAGCGGAAGGTGTCAGTTGCGCAGTAGGACTTATTATACTGTTAATGAATAGCATTGCTGCATTGTCTGTTTTTTTCCATGTTATGGAAATTCATTATGGTTCTTCCTCAATGACAGCCCTATTAAAGCCGAAATTAAAACATTGTTTCTTGTTAATTTGTGCGTGGCTAAAACGTGACATCCGTCCATGTATCTCTGCTTTGCGAAGACTTTCGGTTTTCGTTTCGCTTATTGCTCCTAGTGGTATCGCCAGCCATGTGCTGACGTGTTTCGCACCATCGCCACGTAAACTCACGATATCCAGACCGGGCATGTGCACACCCACACCTCGCACCATCACGTGACGCGCCAGCACAAATGTCTGCGCTGTTGAAATTCGAACGACTCTTTCCTTTCGCCACAGGTAGTAATGGCATCGCATCGCATCGCAGGCATCCACATGACGGACCTGCTTCGCTTCCTTGGAGCGGCGCGAGCTTCTCTCGCCGCCAGAGCCTCCAATCGCTGCTGCTGCTAGTACGAGTAAGCGCTGAGCTGCGCTCCCTCCCTCGTCCTGCCTTGGACTCGTTTCTTTGCCCTGCGCGATGTGTGAAGACAGTAGGTTGGGTGCGTTCAAGACGAGAATAGTAGCCATCCCGCGGCCAGATGCGTTTGACGGCGTTCGCTTGTTTCTTGGGCACGCGAAAGGTCCAGTGATATCAGGTTGGGTGATAGCCAGAGGTAGTGCAGCAGATTCGGGGACTTTCAAGAGGTTGTGCGAGCGACTAGTGTGACGAGCGGAGTAGTGCGGCGAGCGACTAGAGCGACGAGCAAGTCTTGCGACGAACGATTAGTGCGACGAGTGGTTGAGGCTGAAATGGCAGCAGCCGCTTCAGTCTGCTTCAGTAACAGCAGCAGCGGCGGTGGCGGCGGAGGCGGCGAACACAAGGAGAAAGACACGTGGACCTCTCGCCGCAGCGCGTTCAGGCTACCATTTCTGAGCGCGGTTCCTGACTCGCCTCTTGATCCCTCCTCCCTCCTCTCCTCCCCCACCGTCATCTCCCCCTCCGCCTCTACCGCGGCCACCGCCGCCGCCGGTGCCGCCGAGGTCATAGCGGAGAGCCTTTCAACCGCGTCTTTCATTCGTCGGCGCGCGCATCACGAGGCTTGCGCGCATGGGGCGGGACAAGATGATGCTGACTATAACGCGCGTGAGAAAGCTGATAGTGGCGGTGGTGACTATAACGCGCGACAGAAGCATCTCGACGCGTACACAGCGGACGACGACGAGGCGACTGTGCGACGTCGCCTGGCGGCCGAGGGGCTGGAGATGCGCGACCTGGTGCCACGTGGACGAATGAGCGCGTGGCACGTGGCCATCGTGTTCGTCTATCACATGCTGCCGTACACGCCCCTCCCCTGCACGCTCGCCACGCTTGCTTGCTTCTATGGGTACAGGTGAGTCAACGGGATCAACGGGGGTCATTGGAGTCAACGGGGTCAACGGGGTCAACGGGGGTCAACCGTGGTCATTCGGGCATGTCTCTGGTCAAGAAGCTGTTGACAACAGTCCAATCTTGTCATGTGCAGTTCATAGAGTCAACTCCGCCACTTTCCACTTCTAGTCAGCTCTGCCAGAATCACTCTGGTCAAAGCAGTAAATTCTGGTCAAATCATTCAATTCTGGTCAAACCAGTCATCTTTGATCAAACCAGTAAACTCTAGCAAACTCAGCAAGTGCTGACACCTTAGCCAATTGCTCATTCCATGGTTCGTTCATGTAAGTCGCTGCTCATTTGGACAATGTCATCTGCTGAGTACGCATATGCATGTGGCGTTTCATCTGTGGTGTGACGTGGCAGGGCGTACGGTTGGCAGGGCGCAGTGGCAGTGGTCCTGCTGCTCCTCTTCCTCCGCCTCATCCCGCTCTATTACAACTCCGCCTGGCGCAAGAAACTCACTGTAAGCAGCTTCAATGTTTGTCATAACCACTGCTTTAAAAAGCACAAGTCAAGCATATATGTGATCAACTCAAGCGCCTCATCCCTCTTTTCCCCTCCCTCCCTCCTCCCCCCCCACTCCTCCCACCATATGCATTGCCCGCACCTCCTCGCTTCCCCTCTTCTTCTCCCCCTCTCCCCGCACCTCACCTCGCCCCCTCAGTTTCTGTACGAGGCAATGGCACACTACATGACACGCGTGCGCGTCATCGTGCCAGCTCAGCAGGTGCCACGTGGCGGGTACCTATTCACGGCGCACCCGCATGGGCGCATGTTCTACAGCAGCAGCATGCTCATCCAGACAGCACACCTCTGGAAGGACACATTCTGCCCCCACGGTGGGTCCGCACACCTGGCACACATGGTAGGCACACATGGCCTTGCAAGGCATGGGTAGGCTGGGCGCACGTGGTAGGCTGGGCGCACGTGGTAGGCTGGGCGCACGTGGTAGGCTGGGCGCACGTGGTAGGCTGGGCGCACGTGGTAGGCTGGGCGCAAGTGGTAGGCTGGGCGTACGTGGTAGGCTGGGCGTACGTGGTAGGCTGGGCGCATGTTCTACAGCAGCAGCATGCTCACTCAGACCGCCCACCTCTGGAAGGACACATTCTGCCCCCACGGTGGGTCCGCACACCTGGCACACATGGTAGGTGCGTCATGCCATGCATGGCCTTGCAAGGCATGGGTAGGCTAGCTGCATGGTCTACAGCAGCAGCATGCTCACTCAGACAGCCCACCTCTGCAAAGACACATTCTGCCGCCACGGTGGGTACTAGTACGCCCGCCCGCCCGCCCGCCCGCCCGCCACACATGGTCGCCCCAAGGTAGGCAAAAGGTGCGCCTTTTGCCCCCACGGCAGGCAGGCAGCCAGCCCCCCCACACATGGCGCTCCAAGGTATTTGAGGGAAGGGGGTCATGGAAGGATGGAGTTGAAATCAGCTGGTTTCGATCCGCCGCAAGCCTTCATCAGCGCATCACGGAAGGGGATCATAGAAGGATGGAGTTTCTGTGAGGTTGTGAGATTGTACTGCGGGATCGCCCCACCCTGTTTGCCCTCAATCTCCTCACCTCGCGTCCCTTCACCCCGTCTCCTTGCACACTCACACCAGGCGAGCTGTTCGGGGCGGCCAACAGCACCTTCTTTGAGGTCCCTGTCATCCGCACCATGTTGTGCCTGGCTGGGGCCATCCCTGCCAGCCGCGGCAGCATCATTTCAAAGCTCAGGCACGGCGACCATGTGAGTGTAGTCACCCTGCCTCGAGGGACTCTGTGGTGTAGTAACCCACATGCGCTCTATGCTGTGGTAACTTAGGTGCTGCTGAAACATAGTGGCAGAAACATAGCAATGGTCTTCAAAATTTTCCTCTTCCTCCCTCTGGCCACTGTTCCTGCTCCCTCCCTGCACTCTCATCCTCCCTTCTACCATCCTCTATCCTCCCTCTAACCATCCTCTATTCTCCCTCTAACCACCCTCTCTCCTCCCGCCCACGGCCCTTCATGCGTGGGTGGCAGGTGGGCATAGTGGTGGGAGGCATCAGGGAGGTGTGTCTGGGCACCAACCCTCACACGGACGTGCTCTACCTCATGAGGAGGTGAGACCCACGCCTTGACTCGCGTTGACTGGCGTTGACTTGTTCACTGTGGTGTGCAGTGTGCATTGTGCAGTGTTGGCAGTGCTGGCCTGGCCTCCATGCAGTTGGGTATGGCCGTTGGCTGACTTTGTGTCTTCCCGTGTTGCGACTTGTGAATTCCATCGCATCACATGGCATGGAATGGCATGGCATAACACGGCATGACATCTGATTGACTGGCATGGCATGGCATGTGTACATCAGGCGTGGGTTTGCGCGCATAGCAGTGGAGGAGAAAGTGGGAGTGATTCCAATGTACTGCTTCAATGAGACCCAGGTCAGTGCTACTCCCCGCCCCATGCTCATGCGTGAGCGTTCTGTTTGGAGCAGCAACGTGCCATCCACTGCATACTTGCGTACTGGCTGGATAGGGTGGTTGGCTGCTTGTTCCTTTCAATGCTGCTCACCTTTCTGTTTCTCCTTTTCTTATATGCCTTACAACTCCCTTTTGTGCTTCCATTCGTCACAATGCTGCAGCTGTTCAAGCACGATCCACTCTGGCTGCTCCAGTTCTGGGCTGTGGTGAACCGCTATTGGCGTATTGGCGTCCCGTTTATGAGGGGGGTATGGCACATGCCCATGCCCTTCCGCAGGTATGGCAATGGCTTGTCTAGCTGATGCAAGGAAATCTATTTTAATTTGTATTCTGACTCCGTTTGTTTCTCGACATGCAGGGAGCTATTAATTGTGGTTGGGAAGCCTCTATTCGCGCGAGATGGAGAGACAGTTGATGAGTTTCACGCTCGATACGTGGATGAAATATCCGTTATCTTCCATAGATTCGTCCAAATATCATCTCGACCAAAACACAAGCTGTTGATTCGCTAGAAATTGTGGCCACGAATTAGGATGGAATTGTGAGGTTCATAAGAAAAGTAGCAGGTGTTTTATTGTTGTACACATGGTACAAATATTAAGGCAGTCTAAATTTGGAATCTCTCTACTAAAATATGTGTGGAAATCATCACAGCTGTTAACGGGGACATCGAGACAGCCGTATCCACCCCTTCGATCTCATCTTCTCACACACACCTATCTTCTCCCTTCTCTCTTGTCCCTCAGCCACAAGGATTCCGGGACCGCACAGCTCGTAACACCGTGTCTGTACCGAATAACGGACAGATTTCTAGCGATACAGTCTCCTGGTGATCAAATCGCGGTTTGATCAAACGTCATGGCGCCCGTTCGCGAGGCCCATTTCCCCGTGCCAGTGCTCTCCGATAACCCCGACGGGTGGGGTCCCACCACTCTCCCCGAGCAGTTTAAAGACGTCCCGTACGCGCCGTTCAATAAGGGCGACCGCGTCGGCCGCGCGGCGGACTGGACTTCTCAAGGATACCGTACGTCTCGTGCCGCGTGCCGTGCGCCGCGGTTTCGCGCTTCCGATCCCTAGCTCTGATTCCGCTAGGTTTATCCGATTCGATCGCGTTACGTGGAATTAGTGGCGCCTTAGGCTGTGACGGTGTTTGCGACAGTCGTGCCGCTGCCAGTGGGTAGCGGACGATTCCATTCAACTAGGGTTTAGCGAGTCTTTTGATCCCGCTGCAGTCTTCTGCTGCAGTCATCGCCTCTCGAGGTCCCATCTGTCACTGAGTTATCGTATATCGAGGGGTCGTTTACCGAGTGCTCATCTCGTCCGCCTCTCGCGCTCCTCTCACTCCTTCGCTAATCCGTCGCTTTATTTCGCCGATTTCGCAGGTCGCTACGATCGTGATCGCCAGGGTGGGGCGGGCGGGGTGAATGCCGCCTTCTCCTTCTTCCAGGACCAGGATGAGGTGGGTGGCCTCCGTTGTCCCGTAGCGCGCATCCCACCTCTCTGCATCCCCTGCCTATTCGAGCCTTTGCTCTCCCATGGTATCAAGCTGCTCGCCTCGTTTCGCCTGCCTCTTATCGACCACTCCATTCCCTCCTTCCCGTCGCTCCCGCCCCCGTCCATCCCGTCAACACCAATCCAAATCGTCCACGTCGTTGTCACCATCCACGTCACTCCCGTCGTCCACGTCATCCGTGCAGGACTCGTTTCAACTGGTGGACACCAAGCCCGTGCAGAAGCCTCGCTACGGCCCCCGCCGCTTCTTCCAGGTTCGCCGGCCCTTTCTCCCCTCGCTCACTCTCTCCTTCTCAGGTTCTCCCGCCGTCTTCCCTTCCCACCTCCTTCGCTCTCTCCTTTCCTCTCTCTCCTATCCATGTCCGTTTCCACTTCCCCCCAATCCCCTCCCCCCTCTTCCCCCCCACCCCTCCCCGCCCCTCAACCTCTCTCTCGTATCCCGTCCGTCGTTCGTTCCACTTTCCTGCTTTCAATTTCAATCCACTTCTTCCCACTCGCCACGTTTGTAACCTCTTCGTTTTCATCTCACTTTTTCTTCGCTGCCGCGCTTGCCTCTTCGCTTCTCTTCATTCTTCGTTCGTGTCTACGCTCCCCCACTGGGCCGCACTCGCTCGCGTTCCGCCGTTCCGCCAGAATCGGTTCCAGAACCGGCGAGGGGAGGAGGGGAAGCGCGACGGGCGCGACAGCGGCGCGGGCGCGGACAGGGAGCGGCAGCGGCAGCAGCGCATGCAGCAGCAGAAGCGCGGGCAGTGGAACCCGTACTACGACCGCAACGCGCAGCGCGCCACGTACAACAGCTCAGTCGACATCCGGCCCGAGTGGGTGGTGCTCGAACAGATCCCCCTCTCCGCGCTCTCGAAGCTCTCCTTCAACGCGGGGGAACCGCAGGACGTGTGAGTTTTAAACCCTGGGAGATGGGAGGGGGAGAGGAGAGGGGAGGGGGGCAGAGAGAGAGAGCGCGCGACGTACAACAGCTCCGTGTACATCCGGCCCGAGTGGGTGGTGCTCGAGCAGATCCCGCTCTCCGCGCTCTCGAAGCTCTCCTTCAACGCCGGGGAACCGCAGGACGTGTGAGTTTGAGAGAGGGCGAGGCGAGGCGGAGAGAGGGCGAGGCGGAGCGGAGAGGGAGGGAGAGAGAAAGATGGGGAGAGGGATTGGAAGAGGGAGGGAAAGAGTTTTTTTTTTTTTTTTTTTTTTTTTTTTTTTTCCTGTCTCCATTGCAGTACTCTCGCTTTATTCGTCACCCCCTCCCCTTCCCTTCCCTCCATTATTCTCCCCTCCCCTTCCCTTCATTCCCCCCTCACCTTGCCTACTCCTCCCTGTGGGTCGTCGCCACTTCCTGCGCGTACCCCCCTGTGCACCGCATTGTCCCTTGCGCCCTCTGTTGCAGTACGACGTGCGGCGCGCTCGAGTATTACGACAAGATGTTTGACCACGTCAACCCCATTTTCCCTTTCCCCCACATCCCCTGCTCCACCCTTCATGATCCCGTGCGCCCCTTGCACCCCGTGCGCCCCTTGCGCCCCTTGCTGCTGTTGCAGTACGACGTGCGGCGCGCTCGAGTATTACGACAAGATGTTTGACCGAGTCAACCCCAAGGTATGCCCGTTGACCGAGTCGACCCCCAAGGTATGCCCGTTGACCGAGTCAACCCCAAGGTATGGCCGTTGACCGAGTCAACCCCAAGGTATGGCCGTTGACCGAGTCAACCCCAAGGTATGCCCGTTGACCGAGTCAACCCCAAGGTATGGCCGTTGACCGAGTCAACCCCAAGGTATGGCCGTTGATGCTCATGCCCCTTGTTCGACTTCTTTTTTCTTCCCCTGGCTTCCTCCCCCCTCCTCCCCCCTCGCCACCACTCCACGTCACCAACCTCCCCCCTTTCCCCCCACTCCCGGCCTTTCTCCCGCTTCACTCACTGCAGTCGGAGCGGCCGTTGGAGCGGTGCGAGACGCGGCAGTTCCAAAAGGTGACGACGAGCGACGACCCCGTGGTGAAGCGACTGGCGGCGGAGGGCGGGGACGGTGGTGCTCATGCTCATGCTCTCTCGTGCCCCTTGATCTAATCCCGCTTGTTCCCCTTTGTCCCTCTCCTCCCGTGCAGTCGGAGCGTCCATTAGAGAGGTGTGAGACGAGGCAGTTCCACAAGGTGACGACCAGTGACGACCCTGTGGTGAAGCGGCTGGCAGCGGAGGGCGGGGACGGTGGTGCTCATGCTCACTCGTGCCCCTTGTCTGAATCCCCTATGTCCCCTCTGTCCCCGCACCCCCCCACTCGTACCAGTCGGAGCGGCCATTAGAGCGGTGCGAAACACGCCAGTTCCACAAGGTGACGACCAGCGACGACCCCGTGGTGAAGCGCCTGGCGGCGGAGGGCGGGGACGCGCCAGCCGTGTTCGCGACGGACGCCATCCTCTCCACGCTCATGTGCGCGCCTCGCTCCGTGTACTCGTGGGACGTCGTCGTCCACAAGAGCGGGGGGAAGCTGTTCTTCGACCAGCGGGACTCGTCCTTTGATCTGCTCACGGTGAGTGCTTTGTGGTTTATTGTATATGGCATGCACTTTACTGTGAGTGCCAAGGTGGCTCAACTGAGAATTGTCATTAAGGAACTAAGATTGCGTAAAGCTTTTGGATCTTAGCAAAGCCACTCTTTCGACCGCTACGCGCGTCTTGCATCTTGCAGTAGGCGCGAAGAAGTAAAGAACTAAGACAGCACTAACGGGCATTGAGCCGGCGCCAGAGGAGAGGACAGCAACATCTCCAGCACCCCCCCAACCCCGCCTTCCTTCCCTCCCTTCCCGCCCCCCCCCTTTTCTCCGTCCTTCCTCTCCCACTTCCCCTTTCCTTTTCACTCGCCCTCGCAGGTGAACGAGACGGCAACGGGCATAGAGCCGGCGGCAGAGGACAGCATCAACGGCATCGCGTCGCTCAGCCAGGAGGCCACGTTCATCAACCAGAACTTCTCCCAGCAGATCGTCAACAAGGTGGGTGCAATGGGGTGGGTGCAGTGGGGTGGGTGCAGTGGGCTCAAGGTGGGATCCCTGGGTTCACTGGGAACTCACTGGATGCACAGCAGCATGGCTATGGGCACGTGGTGGGCGCAGCCAGGAGGCCACGTTCATCGACCAGAACTTCTCCCAGTAGATCGTCAACAAGGTTGGTCAACGCACTGGGCGCAAGGTGGGGTGAATGGGTGCACTGGGTGCTCATTGGGTACAGTGAAGCAAGCATAGTTAGGCACATAGTAAGCGCAGCCAGGAGGCCACGTTCATCGACCAGAACTTGTCCCAGCAGATCGTCAACAAGGTGGGTCAACGCACTGGGCGCAAGGTGAGGTATGGGTATGGGTTCGGGTTCAAGGTGGGTAAGCCCTTGTGAGGCGCTTCAGAAATTTAACCGATCCTCCCCGTTCCCCCTTCCGCTCCTTTTCTCTCCCCTCGTGTGTATCCGTGTACATGTGTGCATGTGTGTCTTCGTGTCTGTGCCTGTGTGCGTGTGCATGTGTGTATGTGTCCGTGCGCATGTGGGCGTGTCTGTGTGTGTAAACATGAGAGCAGAAGGGAGCGAAGCGCCAGTTCGCGGAGGCGAATCCGTTTGCAGCGGAGGGCGAGGAGGTGGCATCTGTGGCGTACCGCTACCGCAAGTGGATGCTGGATGGGGTGAGTGGGTGTTGGGAGGGGTGAGTGGGTGTTGGGAGGGGTGAGTGGCTAGACACTGGTTTGCGGGGAGTGGAGGCGGTGGGATGAAGGCGAGGAGGTGGCGTCTGCTGTGGCGTACCGCTACCGCAAGTGGATGCTGGACGTGGTGAGTGGGTGATGGGTTGAGAGGGGTGAGTGGACGGGCGCTTGGGTGGGTTGAGTGGGAAGGCACTCGGGCGCAGGGAGTGGAGACAGGTTAGAGGGTGAGCCTTTAGGCATGCAGCTGATGTATTTTCTGCTGTGCTTTGCCTAAAGGCAGGAGGTGCTTTTAGTTGCACCATGCACAGACAGGCGGCCACAGGCGGACATATGTGCATGCTCCCGTCCGTCGTCTCACACTGCTCTTCCGCTCCGTCCTCCCCCCTATCAGGACATGCCATTGGTGGTGCGCTGTGAGCTAGACGCAGTGGTGGACATGCGGGGGCAGGAGATGCAGTCAGATGCAACATGGATACGCACAGGCACACTCAGGCGCACACATGCTTGCTCCTTGCCTCTCTCACCCCCTCCTTTCCTCTCAGGACATGCCATTGGTGGTGCGCTGTGAGCTGGACGCGGTGGTGGACATGAGGGGGCAGGAGATGCTCGCCACAGTGAACGCGCTCAACGAGTTTGACCCCAAGGTCACGGGCGTGGACTGGCGCGCCAAGATCGACAACCAAAGGGGCGCGGTGAGCTTTCCTTCTGGTTCATGGCTAAGTCAAGTCAAGCGCAGTGGGTCTGAGATGCTTGCCTGGCAACAGTGAATGCGCTCAACGAGTTTGACCCCAAGGTCACGGGCGTGGACTGGCGGGCTAAGATCGACAACCAGCGCGGCGAGGTGAGCTGTCCTGTAGCTGCTTTTGAAAAAAAAAAAAAGAGGCATTTCTAGGTGCTTGACCCCAAGGTCACGGGCGTCGATTTTTGAGTCGACTAAAAAATCGACTCATTTCTGAGTCGACTAAAAAATCGACTCATTTCTGAGTCGACTCAAAAATCGACTAAAAAATCGACTCATTTCTGAGTTGACTCAAAAATCGACTCATTTCTAGGTGCTTGACCCCAAGGTCACGGGCGTTGACTGGCGTGCCGAGATCGACAACCAGAGCGGTGCGGTGAGCTGTTCGATTCGCAGCCAAGTTCGGTGCAGTGGGTCTTAGAGTTGGAGAAGAACATCAACAAGCTTTTTTGCGCCCATACATGTGTGGACGGCGCAAGCAGAGTTTGACTCAAACGCTACTTGATATGCCCATGCGTGTGTGCTGCCTGCTGTATCGCCTGCTGTGCTGCCCTCCGCTCTGACTCAGGTGCTAGCAACGGAGCTGAAGAACAACAGCAACAAGCTCGCCAAGTGGACTGCACAAGCGCTGCTCGCAGGGGCCGATCTGGTGCGCTGATAGAGGGGCAGTGCAGTGGGCGTTGAGCAGGGGAGGGTTTGACCCAGGGAAGGGAGGCCTGGGGGGAAGCGGGAATGGGGTATGGGGGTTATAATGGGCAGGTGGCTGGGATTCTTGTTCCTTTGTCTCTCCCTCTGTCTCCTTGCAATCACTGCTTTGGTGCTGCCCCTGCTCACGCTCCTCGCCTCCTGCATTTGCTGATGAAGCTGTGGGTGCATGTTGCCAGTGTAACCCAGGCAAGCTAACTCTCACTACATTCCGTATGCTCCCCCGCTCCCCTCCCCCCACTTCCCTCCCCCTTCCCCTTTTTCGTCTGCTGTGTCGTGCAGATGAAGCTGGGGTACGTGTCGCGAGTGTTCCCCAAGAACAACCTCAAGCACACCATCCTCGCAGTGCAGGTCAGTCAGTGCCCGTCAATGCTGGTCAATGCCCATCATTGCTGGTCAATGCCCGTCAATGCTGGTCAATGCTGGTCAATGTAAGTCGGTGCCAGTCAACGTGTCGCGAGTGTTCCCCAAGAACAACCTCAAGCACACCATCCTCGCAGTGCAGATCAGTGCCGCTCAACACTCGGCAACGTGGGTCAATTCTGATCGGTCACCACTTTCCTTCGTAAATGCATGTGGTCATCTCCATCTGTTGCAAACATGCACCCCCTGAATCACCCTTACGTGGCCCTATACTCATTCACCCACCATCTCTCCCCTTTCCCCCGTATGTCCCTCCCCTCCCTTACCTCCCTTCCCTCCCCTTCCTCCCTCCCTCTCCTCAATTACACCCCATCCTCGCCTCCTCCTCGCAGGCGTACAAGCCTCGCGAGCTCGCGATGCAGATCACGCTCTCGTCCACCAACATGTGGGGCATCGTCAAGGTGCGTTGTGTGCATACCAACATGGGGGCAATGGGGCATGGGGGGCATCGGGGGCATGGGGGCCGGATGTGGGCATGGGGGGCATAGGGGGGCATCGTGAAGGTGTGTCAATAAGCGTGGTCACGCTTTGTCAGCATATGTGTTGTTGGTGTGCGCGTCCTCACCTTTTTTAATGTCCCGCGTCTGTTCCTTAAAGCCCTCCTCCCATCCGCCCATCCTCACCACCACGTGCCACATGTGTGTGCAGCATGCCTCGCCTATGCCTTGCCTCACCCACCCCTTCCTGTTTCTCCGTCTCTCAACCTCACTTCCCTGTTCTCCCCCCCCCCATCACCAACAGCACATAGTGGACATGTGTATGAAGCTCGAGGATGGCAGCATGCAGCCTCTGCCTTGTCTCACCCATCCCACCCTGTTTCGCCCTGTCTCAACCACCCACCCCCCCCCCTCCCCCTATCAACAACAGCACATAGTGGACATGTGTATGAAGCTCGAGGATGGCAGCATGCAGCCTCTGCCTTGTCTCACCCATCCCACCCTGTTTCACCCTGTCTCAACCACCCACCCCCCCCCCCCTCCCCCTATCAACAACAGCACATAGTGGACATGTGTATGAAGCTCGAGGACGGCAAGTACCTCATTGTCAAGGACCCCAACAAGTCCTTCCTCAGGTGAGCCTTCCTCAGGTAAAGCCCTCCATTAGTTGAACCCTTCAACAGCTAAACCCTTTTTCATGTGAACCTTGTGTTTTTATGTACCCCTAATTAGGTAAACCCATTTGTTGGTGTGATCCTGATGTTTAGATTCATGCTCACTGCAATTCTGCTCCCTCACTCCCTCTCCCCCCACTTCATTCCGCCGACTCGTTCCGCACTTCCCTCTTCCCCCATGCAGGTTGTACGAGGTGCCATCAGACGCGTTTGACAACGACTATGTGGAGGAGCCCCTGGCCGAGGTAAGCCCCCCTCCCCCCTCCCTCCCCCCATTCCTGAGGTAAGCCCTCCCCAAGGTGACTCCTTGCTTGGTCTCCACAGCCACGAGCAGAGGAAGCAGGGTGGCAGGCGGTTGGGGACAGCGTTGCTGCTGATGTGGACGCAGCAGGCAGCTGTGTGCTGTAGCCTTCTTCTCCTCACAACCTCCCTGCTTGCTGCTGTGGCTCCTCCTCGTCTTCCGTCACGTTCTGCACCATGCTGCATCGTGCTCCACCATGCTGCACCATGCTGATCCATCCTCCCTCTTGCCATAGTGTGTTTCATGTGTGAGCCTCATGCTGCCTCCCTCTTCTCTGAATGCACTTGTGTTGTGACACTGGTGCACTGTGCAGGAGGACCAGGCACCGCCTCCCCCCGAGGCAGCTGATGGCGATGCAGAGGCAGCAGCAGCAACTGATTCCACTGCTGCTGCGTGATGGCAATCTGGCTGCTAGGGTTTGCTCTGTGTTGTTAGAGCCTTTTAAATGGTCAATGGTCTCACAATTTTGTCAGGCTCACCCTGCCTGTGCGTGCATGCTTGCAAAGCATGTAGGTTAGTGCTGCATTGCTGGCTATTGCAGTGTATCCGTAAAATGCTCTACTCTACTGCACCATGTTTCATTAAGAACACATGGTGTAACGAGATGCATATTGTGTCACATCAAGTTTGCTGGGCAGTGAGCCAGGTACAACAAAGCCCTCATCTAAAAAAAAACGAAGTGAGACAAACCAAATGCACTCTCCTGCTGCATCTCTCCTGCTGCAAACCAAAGTCATTACTCAAAAACTCCGTTCCAACATCTAGGCAAGGGAATATCCACCCACACAGCACTTCCAGCCGGCCAAGCTAGGCAGTTCCTGCATGGTCTCCACTGCTCCACAAGAACGTCCCTTTCCCAGCTCTCTTCCAACCTGTTCCGTCCCCAAGAGTCTTATGAGGCGCCTCAAAAGAGCCCAAGGTCAAACCAGATGATCACACGGCCAATATGCATGAGACAGAACCCATGCCACTTCTCCTTTCCTCCTCCCCTCCTCCTCTCCTCTTCCCTCCTCCCCTCGCACCTCCTCACCTGCTTTCTGCGCCTATCGCATCAAGTTCTGCCCATGGACCGGAGCCACCCTTGCACTTCACATACAAGAGTGAGCAGCACCGGCACGTACCACTGGCCCCTCCTCCTTGCCTCCTCCCCTGCTTTCTGTACCACTGCATCAAGCCCTGCCCATGAACTGGAACCATCGCTGCACATACCCAATGGGCGTCAGCAGCACCGGCACATACCCGTGCAAGTGTGGCAGCATAATCGCCTTCTCCCTTTTCCCTTTCCTCCTCCCCTCCTCCTCCCCTCCTCACCTCTTCCCCCCTCCCCCTTCTCCTACCGCATCAAGCCCTGCCCATACTCTGAAACCACCGCTGCACATACCCAATGGGCGTCAGCAGCATCGGAACATACCGCTGCACATGCGGCAGCACCGTCGTTTCCAGATGCCCCCAGATCTGCCGGTGATACCACGCCGATGCTTCCTCCTCCCCTCCCCCTTCCCTCCACTCCTCCCCCGCCCCCTTCTCCCACCGCATCAAGCCCTGCCCATACTCTGGAACCACCGCTGCACATACCCAATGGGCGTCATCAGCATCGGCACATACCGCTGCACGTGCGGCAGCACCGTCGTCTCCAGATGCCCCCAGATCTGCCGGTGATACCATGCCGATGCCGGCGCGTGAAACCGCATCTTGAGCAGCTGCCAGTACAGGAACACCTGGAAGAAGCTGCGCTGCGGAGTCAGCAGGTAGAAGGCTAGGAGAGGCCCTAGCATGACTTCTGTGTTGGCTGTGAATAGCTCTACCTGTTGTCGGTTTGTGGATACCCACTCGCAGGGTTTTGAGAGGTATGATCGGTAGAGGCTTGCCTGGCTGAAGTTCTGTTGGAGGTGTGTGGTGAGTGGGAGGAGGGACCGAGCAGCGAGGGGCAGGAGCGCGAGCGCGATGGGGTGAGGGGACGGGAGGAAGACGGAGCAGTGCATGAGTGTGAGGAGGTGGGGTCCGGTTAGGAGGGTTTGCAGCCAGGATTTGAGAGCGGGGAGGGAGAGCGCGGCGGGGCGGCCGTGGCGCTGCAGGATGGAGAGGGCGGACGCGACGAGCCCGCCGAAGAGGGCGAAGCGGAAGGCGCGCACGAGCAGCGCGCGCGGGCACAGGGGGAAGAGCGCCACGAGCGCCATCGTTACCACCCACGCGTGCGCCACGAAGGTGTACGTCTGCAGACCCATGCGCGCGTTACCACCGGCGTTACCGCCGGTGTTACCGCCAGTTCTGCTGCTGCTGCTGCTGCCAGTCCCCCCTGTGGCCCCACTGGCCCCCGTGCCTGCTGCCGAGGCTCGGCCCGAGGCTGAGGGTCGGGGCGCAGTGGAGGCGGAGGAGGGCGCGGCATAGGCGGACGAGGCGGGGGGCGTGGCGGAGGCGGGGGAGGCGGCGGGCTGCAGGGGATCCACTTGGAAGTCGGAGTCGACGCACTGGCGGAAGAACTTTTGTCGGTAGCGGCGGAGAACGGCGGGATCGTTGACTCTATCCGGCGGGATGGTGAGGTTGTTGAAATAGTCGCGCCACGCCGCGCTGCCCGCGAAGTCGAACGCCGCGAACGCCGCCTGCTGCTCCGCCGTGTTGCCCATCGCGATTGCGGGTGTGCTGGCGACGCGGTGGGTGTGCGGCTGCGGTGGAGAGGAAGAGCGGGGGGGGACGGGTGATGGCGGATTGGCTTGATGCTGCGACGCGGTGGTGTGCTGGCGTCGGGCGACGCGGCGGAAGTGCTGGCTGGCGCACGGGGGATCTACAGAGGTAGACGACCTTGAAGCCTGGCACGGAAGGGAAGAGACGAGACGAGATGGACAGGAGGAGCGAATGAGCACGGTGAAGCGCGACGGCAATATGAATTACGGTAGAGAAAGGGGAAACGAAGAGAATCGAATCTGTGGTTCCCCGGGTTCTGCGAGACGAGTGATACTGTTGCGGATCTACATCGCCGTCATGGCTGCCACTTAAAACGGTCAACGAACCTTACCGATTGCGAGCCGCGAGGACCAAGCCGTTAGCTGCCGGCGATTCAACGGCGTTTTGGCGGCGATCTTAGAGGCTCCGTCGTCTCCGTCAGCGAAATAGACTACTATCTATCTATCTACGTTTATCCTATACTAGATCGTGCAAGTTTTGTTTCGCCTGAAGATTTGAAGAACCAAGCGCAATATCCAGCGAGCGAGAGTTCACTCGTAACAAATATTTCGCCTGGATATCGCACATGTTCGAGTGCCACAAGAGCACAGGACCACTCCACACCACATTGCAATCCCATCTGGCTGGGTCCCCGAACCCAGATTTGGCCAGAATTTATTGTTCCAAGGGAAGCACGAAGGATAGCACTTGGATCTTGAATTGGCGCGGCTATGCAACAGAGACGCCACTCAAGCCTTGGAGTTTGTTTGCTCGGAGTAGCCACGCATTCGATATTCCCAATGGGGTAGAAATTCGATCATGCAGTCCCGAGAGGACCTGATGAGACGTTACGTCAACCTTGGAATGAAGGGCTTTTTTTCGCTTGTTGGGAGTAAAGGAGTAACGGGCTCACCTCGCACTCTGAAAGGCGAAGGATGTGAGCAGAGTATCAAGTCTGTCGATATATTCTGTTTGTTTCGACGAAAGGTATGTGCGCGTGGGGATTTTTTTTCCGATCCGTTACTTCGCCGTCACGCACGTCAATTTTTCGTCGTAGTAGGTCGGTTGCATCACTGTCTCCTTCACCTGCATGTGCTGTTGCCGTCTGTCACCGTCACCGCTGAAGCAGGGCAGTGATTGTCGCCAGCGTGATTGTCGCCAGCCTGATTATCACTAGCGTGATTGCCGCCATCGTTCCTTATCCGAATCCCTAACATTTTTCCCGCTTTCCCTCTCTTCGCATCTGTTCCAGCCCTCGGGTTGCCAGGATGGCTGCTCAGCGAAATCGTCGCGGAGTGACACGACGAAGGAAATATGGATGGATGGCCCAAATCAGTTATAAAGGCAAACAAATTTATCTTGGGAGCAGGAGCACTGAAGAAGAAGCTGCCAAGATTTATGACAGGTAAGATTGTTTTTGTTTCCTGGTCGTTGTACCTGCATCAACGAAACCATCCATAGCAGTGCAGCGCATGGTAGTGTCAGCTTCCGGGAAGCTTCTGACGTGCTTCACGGCTTATAAACAGCTGCATGTGCTGCTGATGTCAGACCTCTCCAGGCGGATCTCCCATTATGGTGATGCCATCAGGTGCTCTTTGATACCCCACGCACCCCTCTGTTCCTCCGTGTTCTCACCCAGTACCCCCTCTGTTTCCCATGCCTCCACTGCGTCTGCTGCAGTTCGTGGAATGGCGAGGATGCAGTGTTGCTCTCATGGCAGCACCTTCCCGTTGCTCTCATGGCAGCACCTTCCCGAACTCAATAACCAAATTGTTGTTAATAACGTGTTCCCCCATGCCTACAGGGCGGCATATAAGCTCCATGGAATCGAAGCTCCGTTAAACATTGGGCTCTCAGAAAAAGAAAAGGCAGAGCTCGACGCCGAGTCGAAGGAGGGTTTCTTGACCTCCAATCGCAACCTCCTGTTGTCGCGCCGCCGCGGATCATCTCAGTACAAGCACAAGGGAATGCAGGCGTGGCAGGCATCAATTTGTATGGGCAGGCGAGTTGTGTACATTGGCTCCTTCTCATCGGAAGAAGAGGCAGCCAATGCCTATGATGCTGCTGCAATGAAGAAATTGATGGAGGAGAGGGAGGAGGAGGAACAGGAGGAGGAAGAGAAGGAAGAGGAGAAAGAGGATGATGTGGTGGAAGTGTTGGAGGAGGAGCAGGAGGAGGACGAAGTGGTGGAAGTGGATGGCGTAGTGGTGAAAGAAGAGGATAAGAATGAGGAGGAAGAGGAAGAGGAGGAATTAACAGTGGTGCAAGTGATGGAGTGGGTACCGGTGGTTAAGGAGGAGGAGGAGGAGCAGAGCAGCAGGAGGAGGACGACGAAGGTGGTTAAGGAGGAGGAGGAGGAGCAGAGCAACAGGAGGAGGACGAAGGTGGTTAAGGATTTGGAGGAGGAGCAGACCAGCAGGAGGAGGAGGACGAATTGGTGGGAGTGGAGGAGGGCGTAAATGTTAATGAAGAGGATAAGGATGGGGAGAAAGAGGAGCAGGAGGAGGAATTACCAGTGGTGCAAGTGATGGAGTGGGTAGTGGTTAAGGAGAATAGGAGGAGGAATTACCAGTGGTGCAAGTGATGGAGTGGGTGGTGGTTAAGGAGAGGAGGAGGTGATGGAGGTAGTAGAGGTTTAGACTGATTGCAGTTTAGTGCAGTGATGGGAAGGTTGAGGGTGGTGAATAGAGGATGGACCGAGGTGGGATGGGGGTTAGTGGTGTCGGGGTTGGGTTGGGGTTGGAGTGATGGGGTGTGGTTGGGTTATTGTTTCATGAACTTGTTTTTTTTCTGAAGATCTTGCTTGCAGTGCAGGGGTTTCTAGAACATGCTAGTATTTTTTTGTGCGTTATAAGGGACTATGGAATCAGGGTTGCCATTGGGCGTTACATCAATAAAAGCATGCGTATTCCAAATTTATCAATTGTATCATTGGCATTGCTTCGTTACTAAAAACTGCCCGTCAGTCGCCTACAACGATGTTGGGAGCAACGATGTTACGATGTCCTTTACCACGCTGGTGCTTCACTGGCCGTCAAGCTTTCTGTTCCCAGTTCGGTTGCGTGTGGTGGTGTGATCAACGTTGCGGTCGCTTGCACTCAAATCACCTTTCCGCCACACAGAGCCACCCAGACAGAGGCACACGCTAAGTCAAAGAAACGGAACCATGCCAGCATAAGAGGAGGCATGAGATAAGATGGAAGAATGTTGTATTGAAGGCCACAGGGAGTATGAGGGTGGAATGGCAATGCATGCATTTGGAAGGCACTGCAGGGAAGATTGAATGTACTCACTTGAGACTCAGCAGTCGAACCGCCTCCACCCGTGCCACCTTGTGCACCTACCTCCTTCTCCTCCTCCTCGTCGCTCTCCTGCTCTGCACCTTCCAGGAAGGTGACGCTGGATTCACCTCCTCCTTATCGAGTGAGTGGCAGCCTCCATGCGTCTGTTGGCCAACTCCTGCCTGACACACATACCGCAAGCACACACACATACTGCAAGCACACACACATACTGCAAGCACACACACATACCGCAAGCACACACACATACTGCAAGCACACACACATACTGCAAGCACACACACATACTGCAAGCACACACACATACTGCAAGCACACACACATACTGCAAGCACACACACATACTGCAAGCACACACACATACTGCAAGCACACACACATACTGCAAGCACACACACATACTGTTGACTCCTGCATCGCTCGCCTCTATCTGCCGCAGCAGCGGATGTGTCGACTCCGGTATCCAAGCCACGAGCTCCTCGTGCCGAGCCTCCGCTGCCTGGCTCGGAAAAGCGGATGCACAAAGAGGGGGATAAGGTACGGAAAATATGTGGCGGGTTAGGAGCGGCAAGACAGGAATAGACAGCAAGGTTACGGCAAACAAAAAAAAAGAGATTTTCACCCACCTGGCATCGCTTCTCCATCCATATCCTCCAGGTCCCGCCTTAGCATCTGCTCTCGAAACCCCGCCTGCTGCTCACTCCTTGTGAGCTACTTTAGAGCATTAAGGGAACGAATCAGAGGGCGGTATTCAATCCACCCACCTGGCATTGCTTCTCCATCCATATCCTCCAGGTCCCGCCAGAGCATCTGCTCTCGAAACCCTGCCTGCTGCTCTCCCCTCATCAGAGCCTACCTCTTTAATCAACTTAGGAAACACAAGCCTTCTTTCAGTCAACTCAGAGATCAAGTCAACCCGCATCGCTTCTCCATATCCACCAGGCCCCGCCTTATCATCTGCTATCGGAACCCTGCCTGCTGCTCACTTCTCGTGAGAGCCTGCCTGAGCTCATCCACAGTCATCACCAGCGCCCTCTCCCTCTCCCTCATCAACCTCCTCTCCGCCTCCACCTTTGCTTCGCTACCCGCCCGCGCCTCTGCCGCTGCCCTCGCCTCCCGGGCAGCTGAAAGGGCAGAAACTTACAAGTCTTTTTGGGCGGCGAGGTCTGCCTGCCCGCGTTCTACCCCGTCCTGAAGAGCTTTTCTGGTGGCTGCTTTGTCTTTCTTGATGCTCTCCACCCGAGCTTCTTCCACTTGCAGACGAGATTGCAGCCGGGTCCTCTCCTCCTCCATCTCTCGAATCTGCAAAAGAAGAAGGGCAGAGCGAGGAAGAAGAGAGTGGGGAACAGAAGAATTGGGAACTTGATTTTCTTGATGCTCCATCGAAAAGCCTTTTTGGTGGCTGCTTTGTCTTCCTTAGAGCTCTCCACTCGAGCCTCTTTCACTCGGAGCGGAGATTCTGGCCGTTTCTTCTGCTCTTCCATCTCTGAGAGGTGCAAAAAGGGAGGGGAGGAGAGAAGGGTAGGGTAGGGATGATAACGAGACGCAACACGGCTGGGAGAAAACGTCTCATCAAGTTAGCATTGCATGCGTTGGTAGTTCCCCCCTCGTCGCCGCTTTCCTGCTCTGCACATTCCTGAAAAGTGATGCTTGAGTTGCCTGCTGCATCATCGGGCCCTTGAATCGCCTGCTGCGCTGCTGCACCCTCTCCTCGTTGTCCCCGATTCTCTCCACGCTACCCAATCACCTCCGATCCCCTTCCGCCCTTCACTGCTCTGCTCCCCTCCCTCCTTTCGTTTCGCTCATGTGAGTTGGCGGAATGAGCAGCGGAAATCTGCAGCGAAACGAGCGCGGGCACAGGGGGAAGAGCGCGACGAGCGCCATCATTACCACCCACGCGTGCGCAACGAACGTGTATGTCTGCAGGCCCATGCGCGCGTTTACCCCCAGCGTTACCGCTAGTGTTACCAGCGGTTCTGCTGCTGCTGCCAGTCCCCCCCGTGCTGGCCCCCGTGCCTGCTGCTGAGGCTCGGCCCGCGGCTGAGGGTCGGGGCGAGGTGGAGGCGGAGGAGGGCGCGGCATAGGCGGACGAGGCGGGGGAGGTGTGGCGGAGGCGGGGGAAGCGGCGGGCTGCAGGGGATCGACTTGAATGTCGGGGTCGACTTGGAAGTCGGAGTCTACGCACTGGCGGAAGAACTTTTGTCGGTAGCGGCGGAGGACGGCGGGGTCGTTGGCCCTATCCGGCGGGATGGTGAGGTTGTTGAAATAGTCGCGCCACGCCGCGCTGCCCGCGAAGTCGAACGCCGCGAACGCCGCCTGCTGCTCCGCCGTGTTACCCATTGAAATTGCGGGTGCGCTGGCGACGGGCGACACGGTGTGGTGTGCGGATGCGGTGGAGAGGAAGAGCCGTGGGGGACGGGTGATGGAGGAATGGCTTGATGCTGCGACGCGGCGGGTGTGCTGGCTGGCGCACGGGGGATCTACAGAGGCAGACCTTGCAGCCTGGCACGGAAGGGAGAAGACGAGACGAGATGGGCGGGAGGAGCGAATGATCACGGTGAAGGCGACGGCAATATGAATTACGGTAGAGAAAGGGGTAACTAAGAGAATCGAATCTGTGGTTCAGTGGATTCTTGCGAAACGAACCATACTGTTGCATGACTACATCGCCGTCATAGCTGGCCTTTTGGACGGTCAACGAACCTTACCGCTTGCGCGCTGCGAGGACCAAGCCGTTAGGTGCCGGCGATTCAACGGCGTTCCGCCGGCGATCCTAGAGGCTCCGTCTTCTCCGTCAGTGAAAGGGGCTACTATCTATGTATCTACGTTTATGCTATACTAGATCGTGCAAGTTCTGTTTTAGCCTGAACATTTCAAGAACGAAGCGCAATATCCAGGAGCACAGGACCACTCCACACCACATCGCAATTGCAATCCCATCTGGCTGGGTCCCCGAACCTAGATCTGGTCAGCAGTGTTCAAGGAAAGCACGAATGATCTTGAGTTGGCGCGGCGCGGCTATGCAAGGGACGCCACTCAAGCCTTGGAGTTTGTGAAAGGCGAATGATGTGGCGATTTCTTCCAACTCAGTGGTAACCTTCCCTATCCCTCTCCCAACCTGTTCCCCTCTCCCCTCCCAAGAAGGTTGGATCCGAGCGAAATAATACGTACCCTGCAAGCGTGGCGTGACTACTAGAGAGTCGCTAAAATGAGCCGCATGGGGTATCGACCTGTCCGACAGCTGTCGTCACGTGACAATAGCCCTTATGCCCGCACCTGTCCGATCAGCATGGCATGCAGGTCCACACTTCACCGCGCTCTTCCCCCATTTCCGCGCGATAACAGAGCACATTCAGATCCGAGCCGCCTGGTTCTCCCCCCTCGATTTCCGCCATTCTCATCCTCGTCCTCCCAGCCTAATCCAGCTTCAAGCTCGAACCACCGTGCCCTTCTCGTAGTCTTGAGGCTGGAAACCCGTGGGGCCTTTCTCAAAAGTCCCAGTTTGTTAGTTGAATGATAGGTAGCTTGCCGTTGACTCAAGCGTGCTCTGACTCAATCCAGTAGAGCTTTCTCTCTCATAGCGCTGGCAAGACCATATACGGTGAGTCAATTGATCAACAAATATGTTTCAGATTTTAAGTACCCTGTTGCTTTCTGATTATCTGATGTGTTTCCCTCATCCCTTCCTCACCGATGGCCACTTCTAATTCTCTTATTGTTTTCTAGCACCATTTCCTCACCATCGTTCAGATTCTTTCAATTTTCTGATATGTTTTCCAGCACCCGTTTGTCACCCTTCGTGCGTGCTATGCGCTTCTTACCCTTTCTCTCCGATTTGCTAATCTATTCGTGCTCCATGAATGTACTTCCATGCAGATCTCCCATCCCGTCGTCGCCTCTCCCTCTCGTTCGCCGTCGCCTCTCCCTCTTACCCGCCACCGCCTCTCCTTCACATCCCGCCGTCTCCTCCCCCTCGCATCCCGCCGTCGCCTCCCTCTCACATCCCGCCGTCGCCTCCCCCTTACATCCCGCCGTCGCCTCCCCCCCACATCCCGCCTCGCCTCCCCCCTCGCATCCCGCCGTCGCCTCCCCCTCACATCCCGCCGTCGCCTCTCCTCTCACCGCCGTCGCCTCCCCCTCTCATCTCGCCGTCGCCGCTGACGACAGCTGCACGAGCGCGAGCTGGCGGGCGAGCGCGAGGTGGTTTCTTAGGCGCCGTGATTCTGAGGTGCGCTTACCTATCCCCGTAATTTTCTCCTCCTTTCCCCCTCTGAAATTCGCTTTCTTTCTTACATTTTTTGTAGCTTCTGTTTGTTGATTGGTCTCCTTGCGTTGCACTATTTTTTAAAGAGGAGGAGAGAGGGGGGGCGAGGGAGCACCAAGAGCGTGTGGGAGGGAGAGGCGGGAGAGAGAGCGCCGTGCGCGCTTGCGCCGGTGGCGCGGGCGCCATGGTCGCTTGCGCCTAAGCCGCTTGTGCTTGGGTGCGGGTGTGAATTTGGTGCGAGTGCGGGTGTGAGTTCGAGAGTGAGATGCGCGCATGCACTTGAAGGTGAGTGCGGTTGTGAACTCAAGGGCGAGTGTGAACGTGATTGAGAGAGAAAGTGCGAGCGTGAATGCGCGAGTGGGTGTGAAAGCAAGTGTGAGAGTGAGTGTGAGGGCGACGGTGAGTTGGAAAGTGAGTATGTGTGTGAATGAGGTTGCGTGCAAGGGTGCGGGTGTGGGTGCAAAAGGGGGTGAGAAAGTGCGTTCGAGTTTGTGTGCTACGGTCACATCTCCACCACCCACCTGCTGCGGCCGCCTCTCCTCCCCACCCACCTGCTGCGGCCGCCTCTCCTCCCCACCCACCTGCTGCGGCCGCCTCTCCTCCCCACCCACCTGCTGCAGCCGCCTCTCCTCCCCACCCACCTGCTGCGGCCGCCTCTCCTCCCCACCCACCTGCTGCAGCCGCCTCTCCTCCCCACCCACCTGCTGCCGCCGCCTCTCCTCCCCACCCACCTGCTGCCGCCGTCTCTCCTCTCCACCCACCTGCTGCGCCCGCCTCTCCTCCCCACCCACCTGCTGATGGTGCTGCTGCTGCCGACGGTGCTGCTGCTGCTGACAGTGCTGCAGCTGCCGATGGTGCTGCTGCTGCTGATGGTGCTGCGGCTGCTGACGGTGCTGCGGCTGCTGATGGTGATGGTACAGCCAAGAAGGAGGAGGGAGGGTTGAAAAAGGGAGGTGCGAACGTAGAAGAGCAGCAGAGGGGGGAGAAGAGAGCGAGAGGAGAGGAGGAGGGCGAAGGGGAAGGAAGCAAGAAGCTTAAGGCAGAGGAGGCAGCAGCAGTAGCTGATGGGGACGAGCCGGCTGCAGCGGCTGCAGCGGCTGCGGCGGCGGATGGATCAGAGGCATCGGCCAAGCCAGCTGGCACGAGCTCATTGGTGGAGAGTGCGCTGGAGCCCGCGTTTGTGATGATGGAGGTGGGTGGTGCTGCGCCATGCATTGCCCCATCCCTTTTTTCGTCTTACTGGTTCCCGCCTCTGCTGTGAGCCTCTGCTGTGAGCCTCTGCTGTGAGCCTCTGCTGTGAGCCTCTGCTGCGATGGTGTGCCTCCATTTCCCTCTCTTTCCCATTCCCCATCCCCACCTTCTCACTTACCCTTTTCATCGTCAGTGATGGTGGACGGGGTGCACGCGCAGCACTTGAGTTGACTCGCATATAATCTCCCCCTCCTCCGCCGTCCCCACCCCTCACCCCCCCTCCCCATTGCAGGAGCACGTGCCGTCGTCAGTGATGGTGGACGGGGTGCACGCGCAGCACTTCTTCGGCACGTGGTGCACGACCGCAGTGGGTTGAGGGGGCAGGCAACAGTGGCTGCTGCTGTGCCTCTTATTGCCCTCTCACTCCTTCTGACCCACCGTTCCCCCATTTCCCTCTCATCCCAAGCAGACCTGTGGAGAGCGAGAGACAGGAGGTGGTGGTGGAGGTGCATGACCGCAGCGTGTTGAGGGGGCAGGCCACAGTGGCATGCGCTCATTCAGACTACCCTTACTACACTTTCCATTTCTTCTCTATTTTCCCCCACTTTCCCCTCTCCCCCATTCAGTCCCGTGGAGAGCGAGAGACAGGAGGTGGTGGTGGAGGTGCATGACGGGTTTGGGTGCTAGGGGGCAGGCCACGGTGCCTGTTGCTGTGCCCAGTCACCCCACCCCTACCGCACTCTTCCTCTCTTCCCTCCCCCCCCTCTCTTCCATCCAGTCCTGTAGAGAGCGATAGACAGGAAGTGGTGGTGGAGGTGCATGATCGCAGTGGGTGCAGGGGGCAATTAACATACCTTACACCTGTGCCCCACGCTTGTGCTCCTTTGCCCGCTCTGCTGTTCTCACTCTCTCTTCCATCCAGTCCTGTGGAGAGCGATAGACAAGAAGTGGTGGTGGAGGTGCATGACCGCAGCGGGCTGAGAGGACAGGCCACGGTGCCTGCAGCTACGCTCGTGGACGAAGGGGTGGTGAACGGTGAGAGTGATAAGGGGTGGAAGGGGGGAGTGCTAAAGGGTGGACGGGTGAATGATAGGGCCAAAGGGGTGAGTGATAATGGGTTGGTGGGTGTATCATCAGGGTTGAATGGGTGGGTGGCGAGTAATAGTGGGGAGCATCCAGCCCCGTGCACTCACCCGTGTCGATTTCCACAACATCCATGTTGATAGCCCGGTACCGCGGGCAGTCAGCGGCGCCCACAGTGAGCGTGGCGGTGGGATTCGTGACCACCGATTGCCGGGACGTGACGGCCTGGCTGCGGCTCAGCCCCACCAGGTGCACTCGGTCGCCGCGGCGCAGCGGGGGGGAGGGCTTGAGAGTCGCGGCATTCACTGCCGCTGCGGCTGCTGCTCCCAGGGCTGACGAGTGGTACGCCACAAAGGGCAAGTTGTACCCCGGGTGCAGGAATACCGCCTGGGCAGGGGGGGGAGAGGAGAGGGGGCAGAGGTGGGTTTGAGGGGTGAGGGTTTGCGTGTGGTGGTTCGGGGAGAGGGAGAGAGGCAGGGCGTGAAGCACAGGTGGGAGAGGAGATAGACGGTGAGAGAGGATGGATGGACGCTGCTTGAGGGGGGTGGGCACTGACCTCCCCAGGGACCTCGACAGGGTAGGCGGAGAAGGAGAGCATGATGTCCGAGGGGAGAGAGAGAGGGAAGAATAGATGCTCCTTGAGGGGTGAGATGGAGAGAAGTGGAGCGAGGGATGGTCAGGGCCAAGAGCTCTCCTGCCCGGGGAGAGCCACGTGTCTCTGTCGCCTTCTCCCCTTGATTTCTTACCCCCCTTGATTTCTTACCCCCCTTCACCCATCACCCCCCTCTCCCCCCCCGCCGTCTACCGCGCTCAACCCTCCCAGCGCCCGGGTGCCCACGTGTCACTGTCGCAGCGCTGCCATTGGCTGGCAGTGAGGGACACGTGTCAGCAGGAGGTGGCTCGCGTGCAGATCGCAGTGTCTCTCGTGCCCTGTGCCAGGGACTATGGCACGCAGGTGAGAGGGAGGAGTGTGACGGGGTGTGCATGCGCTTGTGTGTGAGGGTATGAGGGTATGACTGGGTTGCTTGTGTCTGGGTCAACTGCACGTGTCAGCAGGAGGTGGCTCGTGTGCAGATCCCCGTGTCTCTCGTGCCCTGTGCCAGGGACTATGGCACGCAGGTGTGTGTGCAAGGGGGTGTGCGTGTGCTTGTGTGTGTGGGTAAGAGGTGTGCTTATGGCACCCAGGTACTGGGTTGCTTGACCGGAGGCGGTGCCTCGCGTGCAGATCGCAGTGTCGCTCGTGCCCTGCGCCAGGGACTATGGCACGCAGGTGCGTGTGGGAGGGTGTTGAGTTGTGCGTGTGTGTGTGAGTATGAAGGTGTGATTGGGTTGCTTGACCAGCAGGAGGTGGCCCGCGTGCAGATCGCAGTGTCGCTGGTGCGCTGTGCCAGGGACTATGGCACGCAGGCGTGTGGTACTGTACTGTGAGGGTGTGACGTGTGACTAGGTTGTTTGTTTTTGGGTCGATCCCAATGTGAGCAGGATGTAACCCGTGTGCAGATCGCCGCGTCTCCCGTGCCCTGTGCCAGGGACTATAGCATGCAGGTGCGCGGGGGGGTGGGGATGGGGGTGTGTAGGGGTGTGTTCAATTGTGTTTGAGCGTGTGAGGGTGTGAGTGGGATGCTTGCTTCCGGATGGACTCAAATGTGTGAGAATGTGTCAGCAGGAGATGGTTTGCATGCAGATCGCCGTGGCTCTCGTTGCTTGTGTGAGAGAATATGAAACGCAGGTGTGTGAGGGGATGCTGACAGCAGCAGTGGCAGCTCGGGGATGCCTTCCATGCCCACACCTTCAATCCGCTCACCTGCTTCCCCTTTGTTACCCTCGTTCCCGCCACCTCCAGTGCCAGCCCATCTCCGAGTCAGCAGCATATGACTGGGTGCTCGCAGCAGCCATGGCAGCGCAGTTATCCCCTCTTCCTACCTCGATCTTCATGCGTGCTGCTGCTCTCTCTCCCCTCCTCCATCTTCCCCCCACCAACAGTGCCAGCCCATCACAGAGTCAGCAGCATACGACTGGGTGCTCGCAGCAGCCATGGCAGCTCAGGGCTTCCACGCGCGCAACCTGCGCCTCTCGGGCCCCTGGGAGTGGCTGTGCGATCAATTTGCTACCTGCTATGGCGTCTCTACTCATTATACCAAGCTCAGGTGCGCTTACCTCAAGAGTCCTGCCAACACCCAACACCCCATGCTCGCAACCTGCGCCTCTCGGGCCCCTGGGAGTGGCTGTGCGACCAGTTCGCCACCTGCTATGGCGTCTCTCCACACTACACGAACCTCAGGTGCGTTTAGCCCAAGAGTCCTTCCAACACCCCACCCGACACCCCACGCGCGCAACCTCCGCCTCTCAGGCCCCTGGGAGTGGCTCTGCGACCAGTTCGCTACGTGCTATGGTGTCTCCCCACATTATTCTAAGCTCAGGTACGCTTAGTCTAAATCCTGCCAACACCAGACCCAACACCCCACGCTCCCAACCACCACCTTCTTTGGCGTAAGAAAACCCAACGGCCAAACCCAACATTTTTTTTTTTTTTCTCCACAATTCCGGTTCTCCATCCACGTCGAGTTTGACCGGTACCTCACGCTTGTGATGGACGTGACAACAGCAACAGCCGACTGTCTCGCTCTCATCCGCCAGTTGCTTGCACCGGTGCTGCATGCACACGACAGTTTCTCACTCCTGTCCCATCTCTCCCTTTTTCCTATTCACCTCTGTACGTCTCTGCCCCATTGCGCAGGTACCTCACACGAGTGATGGACGTGGCAACACCAACAGCTGACTGCCTTACCCTGATCCATCAGCTGCTGGCGCCGGTGCTGCATGCACACGACAGTGACGGCAGCAGTGTGACTAAACAAGAGGTGAGTAATCCTTGAGGTGTGACTATGTCGGATAAACAGCAATGGAACGCCCGCCCGCCCCACAGCTGGTGCCTCGTCCACAATACTTCTCTAGCGTGCCTCCTCTCCGCCCTTCCCCCTCCTCTCCCCTTCATCACCCCTTCCCTCCCCCCTTGTACAGGTGTGACATGGAAGCACTCTCTTGCACCGCTGCCCACCTCTCTGCACCCCTCTGCTCTTTACCAAATTGCCCTTCACTCCTCCCCACCCCAGGCGCGCATGCTAGCAGAGATGGAAGAGCGAGTGGGAGACCTCCTTCAACTCACCTTTGAGAATGATAACTACAGGTCCCTCAGCTTCAAGGTTCATGTTGGGAGTAGCAGCAAACTTCTGAGAATACGCTTAGCAGAAAGGATCAAAACTTGTGATGTTGTTCCTAGAAATTCAAGAAAAACTCAAAGCCTCCAAACCTCGAAAAACCCTTAGTCGAAACTCACCTTTGAGAATGACAACTACAGGTCACTCAGCGACTCTGCCCCTTCCGCTTCGCCCATCGCCCACTTCCCCCCATCGCTTCCCACCTCTCTGGACCCGTCTGTTCTCATCCCACCCCAGGCGCGCATGCTAGCAGACATGGAGGAGTGGGCGACCTCCTGCAACAAGTCGAGAGCTACAAGTCGCTCAGCGAGTCTGCCCCTTCAGGCATCGCCGATTCTTCCCACCCCGTTACCCACCTCTCTGCACCCCTCTGTATGCCTCGTTCTTCCATCCCTTCTACTTGCAGGCGTGCATGCTAGCAGACATGGAGGAGAAAGTGGGAGACCTTCTCCAGCTCACCTTTGAGAGCTACAAGTCGCTCAGCGAGGCTACCCCCTCAGGCATCGCCGACTCGTCCCGTTCCGCCGCCCACCTCTGTTCTGTGTCTCCCTCCGGCGATCGCTGGTGGGGGCAGAGGCGGCCGCACTGGTGACGCTGGCCACACCTCTGAACCGCTATCCACCTCTCTCCACCCCTCTGTCCTCCATACAACAGGCACGCATGCTAGCAGACATGGAAGAGTGTGTGGGCGACCTCCTGCAGCTCACATTTGAAAACTACAAGTCGCTCAGCGAGTCTGCCCCTTCAGGCATCGCCGACTCGTCCCGTTCCGCCGCCCACCTCTGTGCCTCCCTGGGGCGATCGCTGGTGGGGGCAGAGGCGGCAGCGCTGGTGGCGCCGGCTATCCCTCCCGCGGTGCATCTGTTTGGGCTTCTGAACGACCTGCTGCTGCCAGAGGTGCAGCAGCAGTTCTGCGAATACCTGCAGGTGAGACTGGGGGATCACTGGGAACAAGGGTGTGTGTAAGGCTGGGGAAAGGCACCGAGACGATCGCTGGTGGCGGCAGAGGCGGCAGCGCTGGTGGCGCCGGCGATTCCCCCCGCGGTGCACCTGTTTGGGCTTCTGAATGACTTGTTGCTGCCAGAGGTGCAGCAGCAGTTCTGTGGGTACCTGCAGGTGAGAGGAGAGGGGGGGAAGGAGGGTTATTGGCAGATCACGTGGGGAAGGAGGTGTGGAGGCGGGGTGGTGCAGTGCGGTTATGGCGTGGGGTTGTAAGAGCAAGTGCGTGTGTGGCGATGTGGAGGGAGGTGCAAGCGGACATAGGCATTCACAACCAACACATCTTGCCCAGGTGCGCTGCCCTAGTGTGGCATGGGGTTGCAGGTGCAGGTGCGTGTGTTGTGTGGCCATGTGGAGGGAGGTGCAGGCTGGTATAGGCATTCACAACCAACACATACTGCCCAGGTGGGTTTGTGTGTTGGCTGGTTTGTGGATTTGTGTGAGTGCGTTGGCCTGGTGTAGGATGGGGGTGCAAGCGTGTGTGTGGCATGTGGCGGGAGGTGCAGGGGGGATATCGGCATTCACGACCAACACATTCTGCCCAGGTAACAGCTGCTGTGTGTGCGTGAGTGTGGGGCGGTTGTGCTGTGCACAGGTATGGCAGTGTGGGTGGATGTGGGTGCGTGTACTGTGAGAGGTGCAGGCAGACATTGGAATTCACAACCAGCGCATCTTGTCTCACATTTGCAAGCGGACATTGGGAATCGTTTGAGAATTCTCAAAAGTAACATCAACTTGCCATCTCCATCGTGCCTCTCATTCCCACCGCTTCCGCTTTCCTCTTCTTCACTCCCATCCATCCCCATGTCAGTTTCGTGGGCCTACCTACCCACCCGAGCCGACAGCTGGCGTGTACATGGTGGAGCAAAGAAAGGGCTGGCTCGGCGTGCTTGAACAAGCTGGCGCTTCCCTTCCCTTCTTCCCTTCTCCCCCCCACCTCCCAGCTTCGTGGGCCTACCTACCCACCCGAGCCGACAGCTGGCGTGTACATGGTGGAGCAAAGAAAGGGCTGGCTCGGCGTGCTTGAACAAGCTGGCGCTTCCCTTCCCTTCTTCCCTTCTCCCCCCCACCTCCCAGCTTCGTGGGCCTACCTACCCACCCGAGCCGACAGCTGGCGTGTACATGGTGGAGCAAAGAAAGGGCTGGCTCGGCGTGCTTGAACAAGCTGGCGCTTCCCTTCCCTTCTTCCCTTCTCCCCCCCACCTCCCAGCTTCGTGGGCCTACCTACCCACCCGAGCCGACAGCTGGCGTGTACATGGTGGAGGTGCAGAGGCGAGTCAACCAGACTTGACATTGAATTGACTCCCTAACCTCTTCATCCTTTGAAATCTTCCCCCACACCCTCTTAGCTTCGTCGATCTCCCCGAGTTGACAGCCGGAGTGTACATGGTGGAGCTGCAGAGGCGAGTCAACCAGCTCCTGCTGGCTTCGAGCTGCCCTTCAACCCAACCCAACCCAACCCAACCTCTTCATCCATTGACCCCACCCCCCGTCACGTCAGCTTTGTGGATTTACCCGAGCTGACAGCTGGCGTGTACATGGTGGAGCTGCAGAGGCGAGTCAACTAGTTCCTGCTGGCGGTGCCACCTCAGCACCCGCTGCCACATGTCAAGAACCTGCTGCACGCCACTGCTGACGTGGAGGACAGGCTCATGCTGTGGGGCGTGGGGTGAGTGAAGCATTGTGGCTGCATTGGTCTTGGGTTTTTCATGGTTTTGATTTGTGGTGCTGACGTGGAGGATCGGCTCATGCTGTGGGGCGTGGGGCGAGTGAGTGAGGCATTGTAGTTGCGTTGGTATGCGATTATCGTGGGGTGAGTGAGTGGGACATCATGCTTGTTTGCTTGTTTGTTTGGGTTGACCTATGGTGGGCTGGATGGGGCAACGTGGGTGCATCGATCTGTGGTCTATTAGACTGAATGTTTTTTCTTAGAATCCTCAAATGACGCATTCGGGTTTAATTCGTGGTTGCATCGTGGCTGCTTCAATACCAGTTTGGCAGTGGAATGGCATCCGCATGATTGCTGTTCCCTTCCCTTTGCATCAGCACCCCCAATCACTGCTGCGTGCATCTGTCCTTCCCCCTTGTCATCTCGAGCAGCAAGGTGCCTGGGGGCCTAGACGCAAGGGAGCTGTTCGGAGTGTACGTGGAGGCATGGATCAGAGACGCATCAGCACTCTCTCTCTTTCTCATTCTCCGTCTCCTTCTCCCTGCCCCACCCCTGATTACCGAGGCCAGCAAGGTGCCTGGGGGCCTAGATGCAAGGGAGCTATTCGGAGTGTACGTGGAGGCATGGATCAGAGAGCGTTCCAACACACTCATGGACGTCTGCCGAGCTCCCAAGGTGTGTTTCTCCCTCCTTGTCTCCTCTTGCCACCTCCTTTGTTTTTTTCCTTCATCCTCGCCACCTCTGCTTCCTCCTCCTCCTCCATCTGCTGCTCTTCAGCCTTTGGGCTTCAAGGATGTTCAATCCTGGCCTCAATGCTGTTGAAATGAGATCAACGCAGTGGGCGGTGCTAGCGCCCATGTCCGACCGCAACGCCACATCGCCCTTCATGGAGGAGGTGTACGGGGTGAGGTGATCAACAGCCTGCTGCTAGTGGCACCAAGTTCTCTCTCTTCTCCTCCTTCCACCCCTCCTTCCACCCTTGCATCTCAACTGAACGTCTCTCCCCTATTGCAGTGGGCAGTGCTGGCCTCATGCTGCCAGAAGTTGGCCTACAGTGCCCACAGCCATTATTCCAGAAGTAAGCACTCTCCACCTTGCAGGTGCATTGCTAACCCCATCCCCTCCACCCCGTGCACCCTGTGCACACTGCCCTCTGTGTCTCACAGACTTCGGGCAGTCCTTCTTGGGCGTGTTGGCAGACGACTCGGTGCTAACCCCATCCCCTCCACCCCATCCACCCCGTGCACACTGCCCTCTGTGCCTCACAGACTTCGGGCAGTCCTTCTTGGGCTTGTTGGCAGACGACTCGGGCGCCGTGAGAGCCCTCTGGGGCTCCTTCTCCACCTTCGTACGCCGCTGCCTGCCCCCCTCCTCCCTTTTCTACTCTCTCCTCTCCTTTTTCCTCGCCTTACTCTTCTCCCCTTTAGTGCATCGCATTCCCTCTCCCTCTTGCTCTCCGTCTTTGAGCTTCCTCACGTTCTTCTTTCTCCCTCCCATTATCAGTAATTGAACTTGAGGTCTTCTTTTCTCTCCTAGTCCTTCCAAACCTCTTTCCCATCCATTGTCCTGTGTTTAAACGTAAACTGACATTGGCCCCCACGAATCCTCCTTTTAAGCTCTCAAAAGTCCAAGCCCTGTCCTGAACCACCTCCCCTCCTCCCAAACCGTGCCCCCCTCTTCCCCTCTTCCAGCTGAAGTACGGCGATGGCGGAACGGACGATCTGCAGTTTGTGCGCGGGCTGCCCATCTCGAAATGCACCCCTTCACCTGGATGATTTATTGCCATAACTTGTGGATCAAGCTCGAAAAGGTTGCCAATCTCTCTCGCTTTAACTCCCTTTTCTTGCCGCAGAGGCACAGGAGGAGGGAGACAAGGCCGGTGAGCATCAGCAGCAGCAGCAGCACCAGGAGGAGGAGGCGGGGGCAGACAACAGCCTGCTGATGAACGGGCGGCTGTGGGCCATGCCGCGCATGCGAGTGCTAGAAGCCGAGCTCGCCCCCATGCTGCTGTCCAAGGCCAGGAGCTTCGGCCTCTCAGAGCAGTGGGTGCACGTGCTGGCCCGTGCTGACCCCGTGCGGCGGCAGCAGCAGGAGCAGAGATGACTGCAGCGAATGGAGAAACAGAGGCTGCAATCGAGACACCAGGGAAGGGAGATGGAAAGGAGGGTTCAGACCTTCAGCGACTTGATGGAGGTGGGTGGTGCTGCGCCATGCATTGCATTGCCCCAACCCTTTTTTCGTCTTACTGGTTCCCGCCTCTGCTGTGAGCCTCTGCTGTGATGGAGGTGGGTGGTGCTGCGTCATGCATTGCCCCATCTCTTTTTTCGTCTTACTGGTTCCCGGCTGTGCTGTGAGCCTCTGCTGTGATGCTATTTCCCTCTTTCCCACCCCCCGTCCCCACCTTCTCACTTACCCTTTTCATCCCTCTCAACCCCATTTCCCCCTCACACATCCTTGTTCCTTCCCGAATGCAGGTGCACGTGCCGTCGTCAGTGATGGTGGACGGGGTGCACGCGCAGCACTACTTTGAGTCAGCTTGCATACATATTCCCCCTCCCTTCCCCACCCCTCCCCCTCCTCCGCGGTCTCCACCCCTCACCCCCCTTCCCCATTGCAGGTGCACGTGCCGTCGTCAGTGAGGGTGGACGGGGTGCACGCGCAGCACTTCTTCACATAGACTCACAAGTATCCTCCCCTCCCTGCCCCTCCCTGCCCCTCCCTCCCCACCCGCCCCCTCTCCTCACCCAGGTGCACGTGCCGTCGTCAGTGATGATGGACGGGGTGCACGCGCAGCACTTTTTCGGCACGGCGCAACATCGTGCGGGGCTGCCTCTCCTCCCCACCCACCTGCTGCGGCCGCCTCTCCTCCCCCCCCACCTGCTGCGGCCGCCTCTCCTCCCCCCCCACGTGCTGCGGCCGCCTCTCCTCCCCCCCCACCTGCTGCGGCCGCCTCTCCTCCCCCCCCACCTGCTGCGGCCGCCTCTCCTCCCCCCCCACCTGCTGCGGCCGCCTCTCCTCCCCCCCACCTGCTGCGGCCGCCTCTCCTCCCCCCCCACCTGCTGCGGCCGCCTCTCCTCCCCCCCCACCTGCTGCGGCCGCCTCTCCTCCCCCCCCACCTGCTGCGGCCGCCTCTCCTCCCCCCCCACCTGCTGCGGCCGCCTCTCCTCCCCCCCCACCTGCTGCGGCCGCCTCTCCTCCCCCCCCACCTGCTGCGGCCGCCTCTCCTCCCCCCCCACCTGCTGCGGCCGCCTCTCCTCCCCCCCCACCTGCTGCGGCCGCCTCTCCTCCCCCCCCACCTGCTGCGGCCGCCTCTCCTCCCCGCCCACCTGCTGCGGCCGCCTCTCCTCCCCGCCCACCTGCTGCGGCCGCCTCTCCTCCCCGCCCACCTGCTGCGGCCGCCTCTCCTGCTACAACTGCCCCCTTCCTGTTTTTAACATCATGTTTTTCTCTTGTGTTACTGCAGGCATCTCCGCGTGCACATCGCTCGAGAGCCATGGATCAAGGAGAGAAGAGGAAGCGGCTTGAGGAGTCGTCATTGGGTGATATCGACAAGGATGTGATAAAAGACGAGATGAAAACTATTTCGAAGGAGAATCTTATTTCTATGGTCTTTCCTTGGTAAGTTACATTCACCCCTTTCTGTTTTCGGTTATGTTGGTCATAGCAGGACCTATTATAGATGATGTTATGGTTTTTATGATGGTATGCACTAGTGCTTACTCTTATTATGCACTAACTTTCTTTCACATGTGCGTGACACAGGGTTATGGAGCACAAGCTTTATCTTGAGGAAATGGAAAACGTCGTCAACGCTGACGAGGCGAGCCGCAAGTTCCATGTGTTAGGGGTGCCTAACATCTCAGCAGATACGTTGAAGAAAGTAAGTCAAAGTTTATATTATTTAATTGGTTGTGCAATCGATTGACAATGATTTGTGCTATGAATCTTAACTCTGATTTTTTCTGGCGTTATTCTTAGTTGAGTGTTGTGTGAACTTGTTTGCGTTTGTTGATTCGCAGGCGTTTGAAAAGTTTGGCGAGGTGAAATTTGCCGGCTTCGTTATTGAATCGCCGAGTAGGCACATACCCACTGGGATCATCATTTTCAAATCAACACGCTCTGCATGCTTGGCGCTTCGTTGTGAGGAAAAGATGGTCATTCAAGTAAGTGGAGCTATGTTGTTATTATTTGATTATCTCTATCGTCTTATTGTAATTTTTTTTTCTTTTATTTTTTAGGCTTCTGATTCTTGTTCGTAGATGATTTCATTTCTCTATCTTTATGTTTACTCTCGAATCAGAACCATGACGCATATTTCTATCGTCCTACGATTTGGGAGCCCATGTCGATGCCGGACAACGAGAATGACGGCCAAACCGCTCCAGCCGCCGCGCAGTCTGCTCCAGCCGCCGGGGAGCTTGCTCCAGTTGTCGAGGAGCCTGCTCCAGTTGTCGAGGAGCTTGCTCCAGTTGCCGGGCACCCTGCTCCAGTTGCCGGGCACCTTGCTCCAGTTGCCGGGCAGCCTGCTCCAGTTGCCATGCAGCCTGCTCCAGTTGCCGTGCAGCCTGCTCCAGTTGTCGGGCAGCCTATTCCGGTTGCCGGGCACCCTGCTCCAGTTGCCGGGCAGCCTGCTCCAGTTGCCGTGCAGCCTGCTCCAGTTGTCGGGCAGCCTATTCCGGTTGCCGGGCATGCTGCCACAGTTGCCGTGCAGCCTGCTCTAGTTGCCGAGCAGCCTGCTCCTGTTGCCGGGCAGCCTGCTCCAGTTGTCGAGGAGCTTGCTCCAGTTGCCGGGCACCCTGCTCCAGTTGCCGTGCAGCCTGCTCCAGTTGTCGGGCAGCCTATTCCGGTTGCCGGGCATGCTGCCACAGTTGCCGTGCAGCCTGCTCCAATTGCCGAGCAGCCTGCTCCTGTTGCCGGGCAGCCTGCTCCAGTTGCCGAGCAGCCTGCTCCTGTTGCCGGACAGCCAGCTGCAGTTGCCGGGCAGCCTGCTTCAGTTGCCGGGCAGCTTGCTCCAATTGCCGAGCCTGCTCCAGCCGCCGCGCAGTTTGTTCCAGCCGTCGCGCAGCCTGCTCCAGCCGCCGCGCAGCCTGCTCTAGCCGCGCTGTCTACTCGAGGAGGGCAGCCTGCTCGAGGAAGACAACCTGCTTCAGTCGAGCTGCCGACGCGTAGAGTTTATGTACAGAGCCTTCCTTTTAAGTTGTCGAAGGAACAATTTCAAGACATTTTTCAGCAGTACGGGGAGATTGAAGAATGTGACATCATTAATGAGCGAGGACGCGCAACGTGAGTAGGTGTGGTTGTACATATGTTGTTTGTCGTTTTCATACAGGGATGTGTGTGTGTGTCGTAGTTGGTTCGGTCACTTGTGTACTTCTCTTTAGCTTGTGTTTTTCTACTCTTTTGCTATTTTAGAAGGTTGGTTTATATCCTGATTAAACTAGCTTGCTTTTTTGTCATTTGTATTGTTTCATCTCAGAGGATATGGCTTTGTCAAGTATCGGACGCTGGAGGAGGCAATGAAGGTCGTTACTGATCCACCTAGGATGATTTGGATGAGTAATTTCTCGGTTTCATCTCATTATTCTTGCAGTATTTTTTGTACAATGGTTGGTCATTCATTTGAACTTTGTGTTTTTCGTGGTCATTCTCTGTCATACCATGTGATAATGTGTGCTGTTATGTTACAGCACCGTGAGGTGCAAGTCATGTATGCAACAGGGAGAGCTCCTCCTCGCCGACAACCACTGCAGCGACAGCTACAGCCACAGCGACTGCCTCAGGCACAGCGACTGCCTCAGACACAGGGACAGATTCAGGCACAGGGTCAGCCTCAGCAGGCACCGGGACATACACAGCCTCATGCACAGGCAGAGCAGGCAGATGCACAAGCACAGCAGGCACAAGCACAGGCACAGCAGGCAGAGGCACAAGCACAGCAGGCACAGGCACAGACACAGCAGGCAGAGGCACAGGCACAGCAGGCAGAGGCACAGCAAGCAGAGGCACAGGGACAGGCACAGTAGGCACAGGCATAGCAGCACAAGCACAGCAAGCACAGGCACAGGCACAGGCACAGGCATAGCAGGCAAAGGCACATGGGCAAAAGAAACGGCAGTGGCGTTGCATAGACAGCGAAAGACAGGCACACGCCGAAACGGCAGTGATGTTGCATTGACGGTGAAACACAGAAATGTTGATACGATGGTCGAAGCAGCGGCAGCGTTGTTCTTGCGGAGTGACGTCTCTTGACAGCTTTATATCTGTCTCTACTGATATGCTGTCCTGCTATCCGTCTCAGCTAGAATGCCATCTGAATTAGCATCTTAATATCGCATCGGTTTGATTAAAGCCATCGGAACTGACGTAGAAGACCTCCTATGCGTCCTAAGAACCTTTGACATTTACACGTTTATCGATTGCCAGAAAAGTCACAGCAAATAAACCATGACCAGAAATTAAGGTTGGTGCAGGTCTGCGAGTGAACTACGGCTATTACGACTAGCAGCTCACACGGCTGGACCTGAAGGCCGGAGCGAAGATGGCACGGCATGGGGAAGGAGTGGCCGGAGCGAAGATGGCACGGCATGGGGAAGGAGTGGCCGGAGCGAAGATGGCACGGCATGGGGAAGGAGTCGCAGTGTGTCCCCAGCAGCCCGTCGCAGCCGAGTGGACGAGAGGGAGTTTGAGCTCGCCTTCTCACACCTGCAGGTGTCCTGGACCAAGGGGTAGAGAGGCGATGCGAAGACCCACCTACCTGCCGTTTACACACTTGAGTGACGCTGGCTGGCTGACTGGAACGAGAAGATAGAGAAGGAGGCTATGCTAGGCTAACCCCATTGTGGTCACCTGCAACTGCAAGCAAGTGACCGGCAGGCAGGCCAGCCGTGTCATGTGCTGCTGCTGGCCTCTCTTGTTATTTGCGTTGGCACCTGTTGGTTGTGGTATGACTGATTTGCGTGCGTGTTGCTGCTGTTACAAGCAGTGCTGCTTCTAGTGCTTCGCTGTGACATGTGCCATGGACCATGCCATGCCGTGCCAAATGGATGGTTGCCATTATACTAATTGATACGGTACTGGTAATCCACGACTTGGTGCATGTACTGGTAGTTTGGTGGAAAGATGTGTGTACAATTCACCAACACACAGGCACACACCCAAGCGCAGACTGACAAGTGTGCAGTTGGGGGTTGCTTCTCTCGATCCCTGCCCTCTCCTGCTCATGTCTCCGTCATTGCCCCTTACAACCTAATTCTCCAACAGTCTAACCACAAGCTACCCCTCACCGCCCCTGCGCCACACCCCCAGTGCACCGCTCGTGCCAAGCGCCACACCAATCTTCAAGTCAGAGGAGGTCTTGCTGCCCGTGCCCCCCAATCCCCGTCCCCATCCCCATCCTCATCCCCATCCCCATCCCCATCCTCATCCCCATCCCCGTCCCCATCCCCATCCCCATCCCCATCCCCGTCCCCGTCCCCGTCCCCGTCCCCGTCCCCGTCCCCCTCCCCATCCCCGTCCCCGTCCCCGTCCCCGTCCCCGTCCCCGTCCCCGTCCCCGTCCCCGTCCCCGTCCCCATCCCCATCCCTTTCCCCATCCCCATCCCCATCCCCATCCCCATCCCCATCCCCCTCCCCCTCCCCGTCCCCGTCCCCGTCCCCGTCCCCGTCCCCGTCCCCGTCCCCGTCCCCGTCCCCGTCCCCGTCCCCATTTCCATCCCCATCCCCGTCCCCGTCCCCGTCCCCGTCCCCGTCCCCGTCCCCGTCCCCGTCCCCGTCCCCGTCCCCGTCCCCGTCCCCGTCCCCGTCCCCGTCCCCGTCCCCGTCCCCGTCCCCGTCCCCGTCCCCGTCCCCGTCCCCGTCCCCGTCCCCGTCCCCCTCCCCGTCCCCGTCCCCGTCCCCGTCCCCGTCCCCGTCCCCGTCCCCGTCCCCGTCCCCGTCCCCGTCCCCGTCCCCGTCCCCGTCCCCGTCCCCGTCCCCGTCCCCGTCCCCGTCCCCGTCCCCGTCCCCGTCCCCGTCCCCGTCCCCGTCCCCGTCCCCGTCCCCGTCCCCGTCCCCGTCCCCGTCCCCGTCCCCGTCCCCGTCCCCGTCCCCGTCCCCGTCCCCGTCCCCGTCCCCGTCCCCGTCCCCGTCCCCGTCCCCGTCCCCGTCCCCGTCCCCGTCCCCGTCCCCGTCCCCGTCCCCGTCCCCGTCCCCGTCCCCGTCCCCCTCCCCGTCCCCGTCCCCGTCCCCGTCCCCGTCCCCGTCCCCGTCCCCGTCCCCGTCCCCGTCCCGTCCCCGTCCCCGTCCCCCTCCCCCTCCCCGTCCCCGTCCCCGTCCCCGTCCCCGTCCCCGTCCCCGTCCCCGTCCCCGTCCCCGTCCCCGTCCCCGTCCCCGTCCCCGTCCCCGTCCCCGTCCCCGTCCCCGTCCCCGTCCCCGTCCCCGTCCCCGTCCCCCTCCCCGTCCCCGTCCCCGTCCCCATCCCTTTCCCCATCCCCATCCCCATCCCCATCCCCGTCCCCATCCCCATCCCCCTCCCCGTCCCCGTCCCCGTCCCCGTCCCCGTCCCCATCCCCATCCCCCTCCCCGTCCCCGTCCCCGTCCCCATCCCCGTCCCCGTCCCCATCCCCATCCCCATCCCCATCCCCATCCCCATCCCCATCCCCGTCCCCATCCCCATCCCCATTTCCGTCCCCATCCCCATCCCCATCCCCATCCCCATCCCCGTCCCCGTCCCCGTCCCCGTCCCCGTCCCCATCCCCCTCCCCGTCCCCGTCCCTGTCCCCATCCCCATCCCCATCCCCGTCCCCATCCCCATCCCCATCCCCATCCCCGTCCCCGTCCCCGTCCCCGTCCCCGTCCCCGTCCCCGTCCCCGTCCCCGTCCCCGTCCCCGTCCCCGTCCCCTTCCCCTTCCCCGTCCCCGTCCCCGTCCCCGTCCCCCTCCCCCTCCCCCTCCCCCTCCCCCTCCCCCTCCCCGTCCCCGTCCCCGTCCCCGTCCCCGTCCCCGTCCCCGTCCCCGTCCCCGTCCCCGTCCCCGTCCCCGTCCCCGTCCCCGTCCCTATCCCCATCCCCATCCCCGTCCCCGTCCCCGTCCCCATCCCCATCCCCGTCCCCGTCCCCATCCCCATCCCCATCCCCATCCCCATCCCCGTCCCCATCCCCATCCCCATTTCCATCCCCGTCCCCGTCCCCATCCCCATCCCCATCCCCATCCCCATCCCCATCCCCATCCCCATCCCCATCCCCGTCCCCGTCCCCGTCCCCATCCCCATCCCCATCCCCATCCCCATCCCCATCCCCGTCCCCGTCCCCGTCCCCGTCCCCATCCCCATCCCCATCCCCATCCCCGTCCCCATCCCCATCCCCATCCCCATCCCCATCCCCGTCCCCATCCCCATCCCCATCCCCATCCCCATCCCTTTCCCCATCCCCATCCCCATCCCCATCCCCATCCCCATCCCCATCCCCATCCCCATCCCCATCCCCATCCCCGTCCCCGTCCCCGTCCCCATCCCCATCCCCATCCCCATCCCCATCCCCGTCCCCGTCCCCGTCCCCATCCCCATCCCCATCCCCATCCCCATCCCCATCCCCGTCCCCATCCCCATCCCCATTTCCATCCCCGTCCCCATCCCCATCCCCATCCCCGTCCCCGTCCCCGTCCCCGTCCCCGTCCCCGTCCCCATCCCCCTCCCCGTCCCCATCCCCATCCCCATCCCCATCCCCATCCCCATCCCCGTCCCCGTCCCCATCCCCATCCCCATCCCCGTCCCCATCCCCATCCCCATCCCCATCCCCATCCCCGTCCCCGTCCCCGTCCCCATTTCCATCCCCGTCCCCGTCCCCATCCCCATCCCCGTCCCCGTCCCCATCCCCATCCCCGTCCCCATCCCCATCCCCGTCCCCATCCCCATCCCCATCCCCATCCCCATCCCCGTCCCCATCCCCATCCCCATCCTCATCACCATTCCTACCCCCATACCCATCCCTGTCCCTTTCCCTTACCCCAACTGCACTCTGTCCCCCCCTCCCTCTCGTACCCACTTCACTCTCCTCTTCCCCAGCCTCCCTTTCCTCCCACGGCCCAAACACCGGCCCTCCTGGCTCACACCCTTCCCTCTCAGCCTTCCCCCACGTGAACCCATCACGCGACACCGCTAGCCCAATGCCATGCCTCCCATCCCCCCCACGCCCGCATACCACATGGCAAGCACACCCGCATGCACAGTCACGTGGCGCCGCCCCACCCCTGCCGCGTCCCATGCACCGGGCGCGCCGGGGGAGAGGATGGGGCCGTGGCGGGTCCAGGAGAGGCCGTTGGGGGAGGAGGCGAGGAGGATGCAGGAGGGGGACGCGGAGGACATGGCGCTGTAGGTCATGAGCCAGAGGTGCTGAGGGGTGGAGTGGGGTGGGGTGGGGTGGAGGTGGGGTTGAGGGCGAGGGTGGCATAGGGATAGAGCTTGGGTATGGGGGCACGAGTGAGGATGGGCATGGAATGGTGTGGGAGTGGGGAAGGGCATTATGAGGAATCAAAAGAGAGGTCCCTGGAGGACATACAAGTAGGAAAGAAAAGAGCAGCAGGGCAACATGAGGCGAAGAGTGGAGTGGGCGCGAGTTAGTAAGTGCGCAGAGGCAGAGGTGCGTGTGGATGGAAGCAACTCACCTGAGGTAGAGTTGCTTGAGCAGGGTGGGAGGCAGCAGCAGGCGTGGCACGGTCGAGCATGGAGGGAGTGAGCACACGCGGCCAGGCTACAAACAGATCATCTGTTACACGGTCGTGTAGCTACAAACAGCAGGCATCCGGGTCGCCTGCTGCGCCTACATCCACCACCACTCCCTCCCGTACTGCTAACAGCGCACCACCAGTGCCACTCACACCACTAGCAGCAGCAGCAGCACCGGAAGTTGCAACGCGGTGGAGGTGCATCCCATCTGGGGACGTGGCAATGCCGATGCGCATGGTGGCACCGTGCACGCTCACTCGCCTCGCCCTTCCCACGCGCTCCCTCTACCCCTCCTTCCATCCTACCTTCTACCCCGTCTTGCCTCTTGTCTTCCTCTCCCCTTTTCATGCCCCCCTTGCCTGTATCCCCAGGCTCAACCCACACCACATCGCCGCACCCCACATGCAAGGAATCAAACGCTGCCGGGTCGTGCGAGCGTGGGGTGAGAATCGCCCCGCGTGCCTCCGGCCCTCTCCCTCTGGTCCATGTCATGCCGTCAGTGCTGATTGCTAAGCCTATGCTGCCTGTGGTGAAGAGCGCGGGGAGAGGAGGGAGGGGAGAGGAGGAGGAGGACGAGGAGGAGGAGGGGGAGGCGGAGGGAGCGGAGGGAGTGGAGGGAGTGGAGGGAGCGGAGGGAGCGGAGGGAGTGGAGGGAGTGGAGGGAGTGGAGGGAGCGGAGGGAGCGGAGGGAGCGGAGGGAGCGGAGGGAGCGGAGGGAGCGGAGGGAGCGGAGGGAGCGGAGGGAGCGGAGGGAGCGGAGGGAGCGGAGGGAGCGGAGGGAGCGGAGGGAGCGGAGGGACTGGGTTCCCCCCCCCATGTGTTACTGGAGCGGCCATAATGGTACATGCGCCAGTACCTCTCCAATCCGCCTGCTGCTAGCTCGTCGAGTCCCTGTGGTGCTGCTGCTTCTTCTGCTCCTGCTCCTGCTCCTGCTGCTCCTGCTGCTGCTGCTGCTGCTCCTGCTCCTGCTCCTGCTGCTGCTTCTGCTGCTCCTGCTCCTGCTCCTGCTCCCGCTGGTGCTGCTGCTGCTGCCGTTGCTGCTGCATCACCGTCTGCATCTGTTGTTGCATTAACTGCTACTGCTGCGTGTGCGGGCGGCAGCACCACGGGGAGGAAGAGGCACTGCGCGTCCCACCACGTGTCACCCCCATCCTCTCCCTCGCGCAACATCGTCCCCTCAGGCGGGCCGAAGATGGCCGCTGTGCTGCCGTGCTGCGCGTGGCATCTGCGGGAGTGGACGGGGGAAGGCGGGAACGGCGGGGAAGGAGGGAAAAGGAGGGAAACGACATATGCTGCACCGTTCATCAGCATTCATCAGCCAATCCCGCCCCACGACTAATGATGATGAGAATTCGATAACCGCGCAGCACCATTTCCCACACCTGACACTCGTTCCACGCGCGCATGGCGTCGCTTCGCCCAGTCTCTCCGCGTGCCGCCCGCCGGCGCTCCGCGTCTCCCCGCTGCTGCGCGCCAGCCGAGCTCGGGGCGGGCGTTTGCAAGGCGACGCCGGCGGATAGACGCAATGCGCGCGGCGGACTGACCGCAATGCCAGCCGTAGCGGGGACGGGCCTGGCGCTGACTGCGCGGGGAGCGGGACGAGATGTGACAGCGACATGCGGGGAAACCTCGAAAGATGTTTCGCTGAACAGATTCCAGATTTCAGGAGCTTCAAGCGGCTTCCAGGAAACTTTCCCACCGAGTGGTGTGCCTGTGAAAATCTTATGGTTGAGCTACGGGCATGTACGCTGATCTCGCAAGATGCGTGGTGGGCGTGGCGGTTAGAGAATTCGCGATGGACGATGTGTGAGTGCGGGCGATACGGGTCGATGTGACTAAAATCTGCGGTCGTGTAAGCATTGTCGAGTAAAATCAGACCATTTCTTTTAGGTCAGAATGGCGACTGCGAGGAGCTGTTGACCAGTCTAATGAACACGGGTATGGTGGAGTAGGGTATATAGCGTGGCATGACGATGAGCTAATGTTGGTTGGGTGCGTGCGAGGGACAGTCTGACAACTCTGTCGAGAATTGGCGGCAAAGCCGGTGCGCGGGGTTATATCGAAGGTGATATCGAGTGGATCAATTCATAAAACAAAGCATACCTTTGAGATTTTCTGCAAAGCTACGCACATGTACTACCGTACTTCACATGTCAATACTGCAATAAAATACCACTATATGGTATGAACGTATTGAATGTGGTATGACCTCGCCCGAGGTCATACCAGACGCTTCACCATTAAATGTTTGTATGGTGTTTCCTATCTCAAAGCACCATCTTACAGTGTGACATTCTCTAAATTTCCTTCTTGAGAGGCATATTAACGGACGACCAATAGAACCTCTCGAAGGTACCAAAGATAACCCCATTTCTGTACGCCATATGAACCAGTTGGAGCTTGCCGGAGTTGATTTTCCAATACACAGTGCGGAAATGTATCGAGCCAGAACCACACCCGATCTACAAGCAGACTGATCCTCCTGATGTCAGGCACTTCACGTGACGGAGATTGATAGACAAGCCCCCTTCTCGTGGCTCGAACCTCCTGATTGATCCTTGCCACGTCACGAGCTGCTTCTGCTTGAGATTCGTCACGAGCTTTCGGAGCTAGAGATTCCATCGGTAATATCTTAGAGCAGAGCTTTAAGAATGAACCGAACTAAACCGAGTTGAACAGATCACGGACTACATCGCTTTTTTGGTGCCAAATCTCGCTTTGTCCCCCGAAGACCAGATGATTGATGTTCTCCCGGGACGCCAATTCAAATCTCCCTCCCCCGATTCTTGAAATTGCTGACTCACCTCAGCACGTCAATCGAATCGAGAATCGCGCCCCCGCGCGCGGCATTTATCCAGTTCCCGCGCGTCCCTTCCGTGCCTCCCCTGCTTCGCTCTCCCTCTCTTCCTTCCCCCTATGTCCCGCTTCGCCACCTAGCCCCCATACCTTCCCCCCGTTTCCTCTTTTGCCTTGCCACCTAGCCCCCCCCCCCCTCCTCTCCCCCCACCCCGCCCGTTGGCTTCTGCTAGACTCCCTCCCACTCGGCATCAGATGCCGCTGCAAAAAGCTCGTAGTTTTCTCCCCAATGTGAGGCGAGGAGAAGAGGGACTGCAGAAATGGCGAGGTGCGCAACCCAGCAACAAATCCGCAGAACCAGTAGATTCGAATCTCAAGATTAGTTCAGCAGCGCTGCTGCTTGATTCATTTTGCCTAGCACTGCTGGGAGTGGGGATTGCAGTAATATCCATCCATCAGCCGAACGCACTTCACTCTCGCCACGCACTGTTCTCTCGCGGATGTGCTGCAGCTGAAGGTAGATCGTCGCGGAACAAGATTCACGCAAGGGAAAATCGGAGCAAGGCATCAGTTTTGAAGCACGGAAATCGGACCCAGCGACATTTAGTCCGGGCCCACATGGGAACTCAGAGCATAAGAGCAGACATGATTCCGCGGTCCGCCATGGTTCGATTTACTACTATAATCCCCTCGCGATATCGACAGCTACACGACTGCTCAAGTCTAAGGGAAAGGCCCTTGTATTTGACAGTTAAGTCTGCACCTACGTCCCGCACTTCCACTCTCTACTCGTGTCGTCGCGAAGTTAGCTTTTCCTGTCTTTCCTTCAGTATTTCCAAAACAACGCCTTGGCTGTGGCTGTTCGAAGTCGTTCCTCATTCCCACGCCCATCATCTAACTCGTCCTAGAATTATCCAAGCCGATGAGTCCCAGACCTAGTCCTGACGGAGACCCGCCGCAACCGCGAACGGGCCAGACGTCTCCAGTCACTCTTCGCCGGCGGATTGAACGCGAGTTCCGATGCGTTCTTCAATGTCACTCCTTCTAATAGTGGTGCTGCCGCCGGTCCGTCTTGGTGCGCTCCGAGGCGCGCCGACAGGGTGGGGAAAGGCGCCAAAGGCGGGCCGGAGAACGCGCTGCACGGCTTTCGCGGAGTGCGGCAGCGCAGTTGGGGGAAGTGGGTGGCGGAGATCCGCGCGCCGCGCAGCAAGAAGCGCATCTGGCTAGGGTCGTTCGCGGACGCGCGGACTGCTGCGCTGACGTACGACCGCGCAGCGCGGAAGTTGTACGGGCCGCGCGCGCAGCTCAACTTCTTCGACGAGGCAGCAGTTTCTGCGCCCATCAGCAGCCCCCCTCACGGCGCAAGCTTGCGCGCCGCCGACGCCCGCAGCGGCTTGATCAGCAGCGGAAGCGGCAGCGGCGGGAGTGCTGCGAGCGACAGCGAAGGTGGCGCTTTTGCAGGCGTGATCAGCGGCGACGCCGGAGGCGGAGAGAGAACGAGCCGCTCCGTCGAAACGCCTGCGCATGTACCGCGCTGCGCGTCGAGCGACGACGCGACGCCTCCGTCACTGGCGAGGTTCGCGTTCACCGGCGGCGCGCCGTTTCTAACGCGCGACTCCAACCCAGCGGAGAGCACCGTTAGTGCAGCCATGGCGGCGGCCTCCCGAACCGCGTCGATCAACGCAGAAACTCTCGCTGCAGCGCGATGTGACTACATCGATGCCCTGCCACTGCCCAGCATGACCTTCCAAGAAATCTTCAACCGCTCTTGTCCGCCGCTCACCGCGCCCGCCGCGGCGTCTACCTCCGTATCCGCGCTCGGCACGCGCGCCCCGTCAGCGGAGAAGCGCGGCATGTGGCAGGGGCCGGTTGAGTCGTTCCGCGCGCCCGCGGCGAGCAGCGCGGGGCGCGTCGACCCGTCGGCGGAGAGCAGGCAGGCGGAGAGCAGGCAAGCGATGCGCGGGGAGCAGCAGGCGGAGGAGCAGGAATCTGTGGCGTGCTCTGGCTGGAGTCATGGCGGCGGCATTGCTGATCACAGCATTGTGAATTGGAATCAGAAGAGCCAGGATCGTGACTCGAGTCAGGGCGTTTTTGCTGTAGCGGGAAACCAGGGGGCGGCGAACATGCATTTGCCTCCGTGCCCTGCTGTTTTGCCCGCCCAGCTGAGTCAGCAGCCAGCTCTGACGGTGCGTGGGGGGCTTGTTCCGTACGGCAGCATTTTTGCAAGCCCCCCAGTCATGTCGGTGGGCGGCATGCACGCACCTGGCATGGCAGTGCCGTGGGGGTGTGGCGGAGCAGTCCCATGGGTGCAGGAGAGAGCGATGGCGCAGCAGGGGGCGATGGCTCAAAAGGAGGCGATGGTGCAGGCGCTGAGGGAGAGCAGGGCGCAGCTGGTGCGCGAGCAGATGGGCAGTAGTGGTAGTGCAGGGGCTACTGGGAA